TCAGGAGGGTAACTGCCAAGTTTTCGCAGTGGGGGTGGGAGAGGGGCAATGATTGCTGTGTGTAAATAAAATTAAAATAATTTTCAGGTCAATTGTCAAATTTGGAAAATTTGGACCTTGACGCGGGCACACATTGGCCTACTACTCTTGGGCATTTTCTGCCTGTCCCAGAGGTTCACGATTCAAATCCGGCGGCTACCCTGGTTATTACTGCAGGTGAATTAACTGTAAAAACAAACCATGCGTTGTCTGCTTCACAGTGGACATTAGAGATCTCGTGACCGTCATTTACAAAGAGTAGGAAATTATGTACTGGTGTCATGGTCCAAATTTGAATAATTACTCCAAAATTACTCAATTTGGATTATACATAGAAATCATTGCCCCCGACTGCAAAACTTGGCAGGACCCTCTTGTAAAAGAGTCATGACATTCATTGAGGATTTCTCCGGTCGACAAGCATAATAATACTTAAGATATATTTTGGTCGTCCTCAGCCAGTTGTGCCAACTCCACATTCCCACGACTGGATCCAGTTTCTCTATACAATAACATCTGAAGAATGACTGAAAATGGTCACCATTTTTTCGACCCCATGGGGATGATGGCTGAGCCAACTTCTAACCAGAATTTGAATTAATTCACAACTTTCCAATTGGGAGTCAAGGGATCTATTTCATTACCACGCACCACTCATACTTTTTTAATATTTAATCTTAACACTTTACAGGTATAAATATTATAATTGCTATCGAAAAGAACATTCTCTGGTCTGGTGTTTCTGGTTAAGTGTCATTGTTAAGAGCCAAGAGTAATTTAATTACATTATCTTCCCATTGTAAACCAATATGCATAAGCCAGGGCAGCCAATAACTCAAAGAAATGACTCATTTATGAAAAGACTAAACACAAATGCTTGAATGACGTGAGAAATAAAATAAAACAGATGTACTGTTTTTCTGCGCGAATGTATGTTGAATTAATTTCACACCGTACATAGCCAAATGTGCTAATCAGAGCTGCGAGGGAGGACATCAAACTAAACTTAAAAAGCAGTTTTAAATAAATGAGTTTTGAATCTACATTTAAAAGTGCATAGCTCCAGTAGCTTCCTAATATCAGAAGGAAGAGTGTTCCAGACGGCCGCAAAAGCCCATCTGAAAGCACGCGATGCAGTGCAACATTGTACAGCCATCAGAAAGTCATCACCCAAGCATCACAGATGCCAATGTGGCCTGAAATGAGGTGAACACACCGACACGTTTCTCTAATAATAATTTACAGCTTTGCCAATACACTTCTGGATGAAGGCCTTACCACACTGTTGGTCATGAGGGTTATTTGATTGTGGTTTACCACGTCGAATGTGTGAGGTGATGAAGCAGTATGCGACGAGAGGTCCCAGGACCGGTTCAGACATCACTCACCGCTGACACTAGACATAGCCAGCAATCAAGCTCTGATAGCTGGGTTCATAGAGCTATTTCAACTTTTTGGTTTTATTTTACCAGGGAATGCCCACTGAGCTATATAGTTACTTTTCAGAAGCGACTTGGACACAAATGATGCCTCAACGAAGTGGCGTATCGTATGGAAACTTACAGCAGCCAAATACTCAATACAAATGTTTCTAAATGTGGAGAGGAAAACCGGAGGATGCAGAGAAAAAGCCACACAACCACAGGGAAATCTCGCAAATTCCAAATATACAGGCGTCAGGGTTGGGATGCAACCCACGACCTGCATACCAGGCGAGGGAGTTAATAGCTCGGCACCGCGGCACCCAGCTTGTGATGAATCAGTAATCCACTGCTACCTCTGCTTGAGGCACTATCTTTGTCAAGCAGAATCGTGTCTCCCTGCTCAAATGAGCATTGGGCTGTGCTGGTGGCCCTGAGCCAGTGATCTACAATCCTACAACCGGTGCTGTGCTATGGTCCAACCACTCCACACCTCGCAACAGCACTCTTCCATAAATCCACACAGCCAGAATTTGGATTAGTAACTAAATCTGACATTCCAAGTGTGTAATGATGCTGTACAAGAACCGGTACATTTCAGAGAGAGGTGGCGACATAGCCAAACAATGGCCATGAAGATTGGCGCATGTTGAAATGAGAAAGCAAAAACAAACATGCAAGAAGGCAAAAAAATGGTTATGCAATATTGTTACGTAATTTACAGTTCGTGTAAGAAACAGCAGTTGGGCCAGGGAGAATCAGCAAGCGAAATAGATAATGGCTGAATCCTACAGCTCAGTTGGCCATCACAGACAGCCTTTGCTGTGTTTTTCCCACATTGTTCCGCAGCTCGTTTTACCAAAACTGAACACATCCCCCAGGCCACCAGCCCCATTTTGCGAGGTAAATCACCATCCCAGTCCCTAAGGGTTGAGAGATCTCACCGTCAAAACAAACGAATGCATAGATATGAATACAAAGATAAAAGGTGCGGCAAGAGACCTGCTATTTCTGTAAAAGGTAATAGAAAGTGTAGGAAATACAATGTTGGTCTGTACAGAAAAAAAAACATAATACGGCATTATTTGTTGAGGACTTGGAGCACCAATACCGTTAAGCCAGTGCCAAATCACTGGTTGTAAGTGCGGTTATAATTGTGGATTTTGCAAGCATGGGAAAAAAACACATATCACCCATTGTCCATGTGATTACCGTACCACACCAGCTATAGGACAGCTTAGGGTGGGGACTGCACATGAAGTTAAACATGTATCCGATCGGGTGGTGCTGTGCACCAGGTCCATGAATCACAACTGGACGATTATCTGAACTAGTCTTGGTCCTTCCCCTAGGTCGCCTCAGCCTCAAATGAGTACCTGGTGCGGTGTGTAAACATCGCCACTGCGGAGACAAAGGCGGTCGGGCGTGGTGATGGCCACCCAGCCCCTCGTGTACCCTGCGGGTCTTCACAGCTACTCGCCAACAGCACATTCCCCCAACTGTCTCTGAAGGCTACACAGGGGGAGCATGGGGGATCTTGGCCTTTCGTTTGTTATACGATCCTCATGTCGGTAACCCCGGGGGTACTAAATAATACAACATGGGCCGAGGCAATGAAATATTTTATTTCTTTTCTCCAGGGGTGTTACTTCACTCGGCGATTGGGGTAAACCAATCAATCCGAAATCGGTGCCACACGACGATTGCGCTGAAACCCCGAACGCTCTGGGTACGCACCACGGTGGTGGTGGTGCATCGTGAGTACAGCTCGTCGAGATGAGTCGATTGCCGCATCGCCGACCATCGACAGACTAAGAATGACTGCGTCACGGACATTATGCGAGAGCCCGGGGTACTTTGGTACCCCGAGTGACCGCCATAAGGTTCATATGAATAAGTTCCAAATGGATATTTGAAACACTGCTTAAGGCCGTCACGGATCCCCATGGTATTGTCCCAAAGAAACCACAGCTTTTATTCGCACTCCATGATGCAATCCGCAGCTGCGATGCCTGGCTTCATGCCACATGGGTATGAAGCCCGAAGCCAGGCAAGGTCCACTGAGTTGGACCTTGCCTGATGCGACCTGGCCACACATGATAGCTCAACGAAGTGGCTTATCACGTGGAAATTTTGAGCAGCCAAATACTCTAAGACGCATGTTGATTCTAAATGTGGAGGGGAAAACAGGAGGACCTCGAGAAAAATCGACGTGGCCATGGGAAGAGAGACACGCAAACTCCAAATATCCAGCAGGCGTGAGGGTCAGGATCGAACCCACGTCTTCCTGTATAGCAGGCGAGGTAGTTCACATCTCGCCACCGAAACACCCCAACTGCAAAGACTGCCACTCCACGAGACCCCTTACAATCACATCCCATTCATCATCAACCCAATTCGTGGCAATTGCACCACGATTGACACGCATTAACATCAGCATGCTTCTAATCAACCATTAACCAGCGCGTGTCAAGCAACACAGCCAACAGCGACAAAATATGTGAACCACATCAAACTAACCAGGCCATCATCCACCAATCTGCTGATAAGCGATACATGGCGACGTGCAGTGTTACACTGGAACTCACCAACCATCAGCACTACAATACTCACCACACCCCTACAGGCAAGGTCGTCCACCACTCATCACACCAATCGTCTCCACGATCAAGCACACCGACCATTCACCATGGCTCGCAAACCATTTACCCACAACACATTCCAAAACTTTACATAAAAATGGAATATACATGGCTGACCGTGCTACTTTACAGCCATTTAAGCACCACACCACGTAATAATCACCCCACTCGCACTCATTGTTAATAGCAAGAGCACCCATTAACCACCCCACTCACACCCATTAACCACCCCACTCACACCCATTAACCACCCCACTCACACCCATTAACCACCCCACTCACACCCATTAACCACCCCACTCACATCCATTAACCACACCACTCACACCCATTAACCACACAACTCACACCCATTAACCACCCCACTCACACCCACTCACCACACCACTCACACCCATTCACCACACCACTCATACCCACTCACCACACCACTCACACCCACTCACACCGATTAACCATACCACTCACACCCATTAACAACACTACTCACATCCACTCACCACACCACTCACACCCATTAACCACACCACTCACATCCACTCACCACACCACTCACATCCACTCACCACACCACTCACACCCATTCACCACACCACTCACACCCACACCACTCACACCCACTCACCACACCACTCACACCCATTAACCACACCACTCACACCCACTCACCACACCACTCACACCCATTAACCACACCACTCACACCCATTAACCACACCACTCACACCCACTCACCACACCACTCACACCCACTCACCACACCACTCACACCCACTCACCACACCACTCACACCCACTCACCACACCACTCACACCCATTAACCACACCACTCACACCCACTCACCACACCACTCACACACATTAACTACACCACAACCGCCCTGTGCCCGCACTTACCACCCACTCCCGCACTCGGTTGTGGAACTTCTGCTCCCGCAGCGCGACGTCGTCTTCCATTTCACCGCGGCCCGTGGGATGACATGACAGCGCGCAGACGAGGCGCAAGAGCTGCCCCGCTGTGCTGCCCTCCTCGTCACCACGGTCACGTGCTGCCCCCCACCACGGTCACGTGCTGCCCCCGCGGTCCACGTGCTGCCCCCGCGGTCCACGTGTTAACCCCCACCCTCCCGCGTCGCGCGCTGCCCCCGCGGTCCACGTGCTGCCCGGCTCGCGCGCTGCCCCTCTGCCGACTGCGAGCAGCGTCTCGCGCCCGCCGCTCTTCCGACTCAAAGGGCCCGCCCACCTACAGACGTCACGACGCGCGCGCCACCCCCACCCCCGCATTTGACGTCACGATACCATATATAGAGAGAAGAGTGACGTCTGGGTGAGGGGTTCCCCGGTGTGACGTCAAATACACGTGGGCGCCGCGAGCGGGGCGGGTGGCTGGCGGGGGTCCTGGTGCCCAGCAACCGGTGTCGGGGCATCCCCGGTAAAGGGCGTGTGTCGCCGAGGTGGAATCATGGGTTACTTAGGCGATACATGTGTTTTTGTCAGTGGTCGTCTTGCGGATGGATTTGATCGTCGCCATAGAAAAGAGGAGTTTCCAACATTTTTTGTATTCATTATAAGTACCTGTACCATATATAGGGCCATCTCCGTGTCTCTCTCTCTACCCTTTGCTATAACCGATGTACCGACCTGCCCACCCTCCAAAATTAATTTAGTTTCGCCTCCGATGCATATGGATCAACTGGGCTCTTCCCTCCGGACTCGATATGCCGAGTACAGTACTCTTTTTCCGCCTGTGTGTTAATCTGTGTTTACCCCGGATATTTTAGAGATGGCAATTCTGCTGCTGTGTTTCCTACTGCTGTCCCTCCCGGCCATATCTAGTGCCACATTCAACTCTACAAATTGGAATTGGCTAAACCCGCCGGCCGTGGCCACAAATTTTGCAGATGAATTTAATCTGTTTCAATTAATAAATGTCCCCACAAGACCCAACCTAAAAAATCCAGGACAGTCATCTCTGCTTGACGTCCTATTGACAAATGCCCCTCACAATTTCACACTGACTGGTGTTCTGGGTAATAACCTTAGTGATCACTCCTTCAATATTTTGGGGTGAGATCATCAGCCAGACCCAAAGCCCCCCTTAAATTGGTTGAGAAGCACTCTATGAAACACTTCAGCACTTAGGCATTTACTAATGATGTGCTTCACTCGGATATTGACAAGGTCGGTGATATCCCCAATCTGACTACGGCTTGGGAGACCTTCAGGTACACGTTTCTCCAAATTCTTAACAAACATGCTCCGTTGGTTAGATTTAAAAATAAAGGCAACCGCCTACCATGGTTTGATCCTTTGATTACAAAGCTCATGAAAACTAGGGACAAGGCTTGGGCATGTGCTCAGAAAAGTAATTTGGTCAATTACTGTCTAAAATACAGGATTTTAAGGAATAGATGCATCAAAAAAATACGGCATGCAAAAAATGCCTACTCTTCCTCCACTCTCCTGGAATCACATGGAAATGCCAGGATTTTCCGGAAAACAATCAAATGTATCGAAAAGGCATCCAAAACAGACAATCTGCCTGTTGAGCTTAACCGAAATGGGGAATATTTTTCAGATCCCAAAAAAATAGTTGACAATTTTAACCTTCATTTTTCTGAATCTGGTAATCTTTTTGATAATGTATTGGGAGTCACCTCTGTTCATGCAAATTCCTACACCCCTGTCCAAACATTAAACGAATTTAGTTTCCAGCCGATCCACGAAAGTAATGTTCTAAAACAACTGTCCTACCTCAAAGGGTCCTCCTCTACCGGAGCAGATAGTATTCCCGTCTTTGCTCTACTAACTGTTGGTCACCTAATATACAAACCTATAGCCCATATTTTCAACCTGTCCATCAAAGAAGCATCAGTTCCTCTAGAATGGAAACATTCCTATGTCCGTCCACTTCACAAAGGGAGCCCTAGAGATGATCCAAATAACTACAGACCTATCTCAATTTTGTCCCCGTTGATGAAAATATTTGAAAAATTATTGACCTATGAAATTAGCAGTTTCCTGTCCACCAACAATCTACTACATCTAAAACAATTTGGGTTCCGAAAAAAATACAGCACCACATCTGCTGCATTAGACTCTCTGAATCACATTTACAGTAGCCTTGATAATAAGCAGTACTGTGCCTGTCTTTTTCTAGACCTGTCCAAAGCTTTTGATACAGTAGACCACAACACCCTGCTTAGTAAACTAAGTTGCCTCAGTTTTTCCGAAAACGCAGTAAAATGGTTACAAAATTACCTCTTTTCTCGCACCCAAACTGTGTTCACAGATGGTTGGAGATCAAAGTGTTAAGATAACAAAAGGGGTTCCACAGGCTGCCATCCTCGGCCCCCTTTTGTTCTCTCTTTATGTCAATGACTTGGGCACCGACCTGGATCGTTCCAGGGTAAATCTTTTTGCAGATGACACGATACTGATTACTGCTGGCTACTCTCCGGATGACGTGATTGCTAAGCAACAGGGTGATTTCAACAAACTACAACATCAGCTAGTTGCTCTTAAACTAGTCCTGAATACCTCCAAAACCAAGGTGCTATGCTTCTCACCAGGACTAAAGCAGTAAGTTATTTTTTCCCCAATTACATTCCTAAAAATAATTATCAAATAGAGCAAGTCAATATCTATAAGTATCTTGGGGTCATCCTGGATTCAAAACTGAATTTTGAAGATCACATTGATTATATTGGTAAAAAGACAAAAATACAAATTGGGTTTCTGTATCGACACAAGCACTGCTTCCCCCCAATGTTCCGTTTGGAATTGATAAAAGCTACCATGCTGCCTCTACTTGACTACTGTGACATCGTGTATAAATCAGCCTTAATATTTACATTGAACTGCCCATATAGGACTCACCACTGTGATCTCTACATTGGGTCAAACTTAACATCTCTTAATGTTCGACGGATTGTGCACCAGATCTTATTTATTCACAATGTACTTACAAAAAAATCCGCAGACTACCTGCTGGATCTCCTCTCTATTTCAAAGAACAAATTTGACCTCAGGTCTTCGCTCATTTACCAGCTTCACATTCCCTATTGCCGTACAAAAACCGGAGGAAGGGCCTTTGCTATTGATGCCCCCAGGGTCTGGAATGCTATTGCCAATAAACTGCAACTTGAATCACTATCTATGAGATCTTCACTCAAAACTGCTCTAGAGGAGTTGTACACCCCTAGCTGCCACTGCTATTCAGTGGCCTAAAATCAAATCAAATGTTTCGCTCCGGATGACCGCTGCAAAGTATTATCTGTATTTCGATTTAGTGTGCTGATCTTAAAGGTGCATTGAAAAATGTGATACTCCGACTGATGCTCCTGTTGTTGTGGAGTGACTCATGCAGCCAGCTATGGCTCTAGGGTTTGATGTTACATGTTATTTATGTAGTTTATTGTAAAAATTCGGTCACAATCCCTGTGATCACTGTTACGTTGCAATTATGGCTTTATTTTTTTATTTCGAAAACGTTGTTTGGTTTGGACATGTTTGTTTTGTTGTAGTACGGAGTTAGACTGATGGCCTTAATCTAAGTTTTCTTGTGGTTGTTGTTGACTTGCATTCCACTGGGATTTTTTGCACACAGCGTTGGTGTACGGTGCTTTTTTCAGGAATATTTTGTTGTTTTTTCATGGATTTTCTGTTTGCAGTCACATAGTCACTTTAAGATGTTTTTCTTGTTCGTGTTTTTTTGTTTGTTGTGGCTGCACTCACCACTGTGATCTCTACATTGGGTCAAACTTAACATCTCTTAATGTTCGACGGATTGTGCACCAGATCTTATTTATTCACACTGTACTTACAAAAAATCCGCAGACTACCTGCTGGACCTCCTCTCTATTTCAAAGAACAAATTTGACCTCAGGTCTTCGCTCATTTACCAGCTTCACATTTTCTATTGCCGTACAAAAACCGGAGGAAGGGCCTTTGCTATTGATGCCCCCAGGGTCTGGAATGCTATTGCCAATAAACTGCAACTTGAATCACTATCTATGAGATCTTCACTCAAAACTGCTCTAGAGGAGTTGTACACCCCTAGCTGCCACTGCTATTCAGTGGCCTAAAATCAAATCAAATGTTTCGCTCCGGATGACCGCTGCAAAGTATTATCTGTATTTCGATTTAGTGTGCTGATCTTAAAGGTGCATTGAAAAATGTGATACTCCGACTGATGCTCCTGTTGTTGTGGAGTGACTCATGCAGCCAGCTATGGCTCTAGGGTTTGATGTTACATGTTATTTATGTAGTTTATTGTAAAAATTCGGTCACAATCCCTGTGATCACTGTTACGTTGCAATTATGGCTTTATTTTTTTATTTCGAAAACGTTGTTTGGTTTGGACATGTTTGTTTTGTTGTAGTACGGAGTTAGACTGATGGCCTTAATCTAAGTTTTCTTGTGGTTGTTGTTGACTTGCATTCCACTGGGATTTTTTGCACACAGCGTTGTGTACGGTGCTTTTTTCAGGAATATTTTGTTGTTTTTTCATGGATTTTCTGTTTGCAGTCACATAGTCACTTTAAGATGTTTTTCTTGTTCGTGTTTTTTTGTTTGTTGTGGCTGCACCCGATTCAAGAGCCGAATGGCTCACAGGGCTATACCAAAATAAATAAGCTGAAAAATAGTTGAGTACCACTTTGGAAAATGTCAAGAGAATTTCATATTTTATGTATTTGTATTTACTACATTTCTTACCTTATGCTATTCGTTGCGCACGGTTGCACTTTACCTTGCTCAGTCGGTGTTAGCCGCTCAGGGCGTGACAAGTTTCTCTTTTCATTCCTGTTGCTCTATGCCCCCTCTACCGTTCCCGTTGTAATGTGCACCGATGCTCATTTTTATTGAGGACGATATTGGCATGTAAAATAAAGATTGTATTGATATGGGGGGAATGCCCCCCCCCCAATCGCAATTGTTAGCACTGCCAAAGGAGATGAGTGCTGCCCATTTTATATTTGGAACACCGAGATACAGACGAGAGTACACAATTGTCATGTAGGCACACTTGGCATGAATGTTACGATCCATATGTAATAAGTATGACACCAGTAAACACCGTTTAGAGGTAACGTGACCCCTTACAGCTTCTTTGGAACGTTCTGACCGAAGCCAATAAATGCCACATTCATCTGAACTATTTATATTAGAAAGTATTTGAATCGTTTATGATTTTTTTTTACTGAACTATTAAAATATGCGAGTGAAATATCTGTATTATTTAATAAATTAGTATGTAATTATTTCATTAAATAATACAACACCTTACATTGAATCAATGATAAAATAAATGTACTTGTATAAGTGCTTCAATATTGTCAATTATTTTTCCAGGCATGTGTGTTTGTGGCTGTGGGAAAAATCAACAATACAAGATGACACTCAAAGCTCTACACGGAAGGGTACACGAACCGACTTGCTGTACTGCTATCTGGACACCTCGAGCCCAATGGGTTCGGGAGTTGCGCATCTCTGCGTGATTCACCAACCCTTGCCTCCAATTCACTGGACCACAGGTGTGCATCACTGATGCTACTGCTGCTGCTGCATTATATGATTCTGTTTCTGCCAATGCTGTCTGCTGCTAATGATGTTATTTATCCAGGAAAGCTGAGACTCAAGTCTTCTTTTTATAAACACTGTCGTACTATGTGTGGTTACTCTCAATCACAATGATGTTACGAGTTGGAGATTATTTATAACACATTCACATGAAGATCCCTGTGTTGTCCATATGACCTCATAAGGACAAGTATTGTGAGTTTGGGTGGTCGAGGGGTAATCGTAAGTTAAACAACATTTTTAATAGTACTATATTCACAATCACAAAAAAATGTATGAATAATCACGTTTTTCTTCTTTTTCTCGTATAAATCTCCAAAAATTTATTGCAAAATATTTCACAACAATGACAAAATCAACAACTCTAACTAATGAATTGGTTTGCAAAATGTATTCTTCTATATTTGCTACATAAGTTAACTATTTTTTAATTACATTTCAACCAGGATATGGTAAACTCACATGACACTCATGTGCTATATAGGTAAGATATTTAATTCTTGCCATTAAGAACAAGCTGCTTGAATGTCATCAAATGACAAGTACTGTTACAGGTCAACCACTCAATGCAATATCAAGTATTGATATGGGAATAAAGCCACAAATCAGTAGTCAAAGTAGAAGTGTCTCCTTACTCAAACGAACAACTGGGAAGTGTTCATCTCCAGTCGTAGCTCTGTGCTCATGGTGCTAAATCAAAATGACCACTGTTGAATCCACAAATATGTACTAATTATGTTAACCCCCAATAAATGGTGGACTGAGCCAACTCCAAATAGAATAACTTGTGTCTCCCTGCTCATTTGAACTGATGTCTCCCCCTCCTCATCCAGGCAAGGGGACACTTTAACTTGAGCTGCTCCTTTGGCCATTGTGGTACACACAAGTAAGTACACCGGCACTAAAGCATGTCTGTGAATACAGACACGCCTGGTAAGCAGCCAGCTCTGTGTTTTTTCGGCCGCACCACTCCCCTCTGGACAGCACAGCTGCCCTAGTCGGCTGCGTTGAGGCTGTGCTGCGTGAGCTTGCTGCCAGCTGGGCTGATGCTCAGGAGCTCCTTGGAAGAGAGGGAGGCCCCTGTGCCGCTTCGTGGAGTCTGTGTGTGCCGCTCGGTCGATGCCAAAATCATGTGCTGGCAGAGGCTGCGGGCAGTTAGTGATGTTGAACAATTAATGGAAGCCATAGCGGTGAGCTCATTAATGGTCAGGTTTCCGTTTTTATTCCTCACATATATACATATTTACCTTCAAAACCTCCAAGTGTCTCTATACTCAAGTACTGGGTAGTGATTATCTCCAATGATTGCCCTCACATGATGATATTCCAAATTCCTATTGTAGGGACCAATTTCTCAATTTAACAACCACTGTTAACTTCCCAAGATTCTGACAATGAGTCAGGTACTTTAACCATATTGCCACCTGGCTGGATATCACATTAGCACACTACACAATGCATATTATTTTATTTATAAGTATCACTAAGCTGGCATTCAGCAATGGTTATCATATCAAATAATATTCTGGACTCGAGAAATATATAATTAAAAACCAAGTGAAATGTTTGACCTGGGTCCACTATCCAATTCCCCCAGTAAAAATGATAGTTGAGGCAGTTTTCATACAACGGCTGCTCACCTGGGCAAGGCAGGTGGGGGTGGTGGCGGCAGGGCAATGAATCGTGGGTGTGAGGTGAGTATCACCTCTCCATTGCTCGCCTCCGTCATGATGTTGGCAAGGGTGTTCTCCAGGACTAACTCCAACAGGTTACTCAACTCTGGCAATCTATAGCACATCACCAAAAGTCCAGACACATACCCACCCAACGAATACACCAAGGGCAAGGCTGCAATGCATATACCAAAGTGTCAAACTGTTCAGACAATTTGTAGGGCGGCACTAATCTCTTACCACTGCCATTCAAATCCCAATACTGTATTTTCTATTGAAAGGACAATAAGTGCCACCCCCTACTGAACTGGATATAGCATGTGGGTCATAAGGATATTATGTGCACTGTACCCCCTAAAACTTGCACGAATCAAAATATCTATTTAAATACCTTCCAACTACAGTTTTGCCTTAGGTCAGTGAGGATGTGCTTACAATAGATATGTGGTGAGATGTGTGTTGTCGCAGTTTTTCATGATCTGATATGGTCAAGGTAGCCGAAGTTGAATTCCTGTTTACACACAACAGTTATGGCCTGGGCCCCCCGATGATGACTTGGCCTTAGCATTAATATATATTTTTGGGTCTTTCGGTAAAGTCACGTACATAGGTTCAAAGAAAATAACAAAAAACTATGATGTTTCGATCACAACACAAGCGGTCGTCTTCAGGAAAAAGGGGGTTAGCTTCCAAGGCAAACTGTTTATAAGGGTTTGAAATGAGCGTAGCCCAAATGTCAGCGGCCAATGATAATGTAAGTGGTGGGCAGCCAACCTGACGGTGGTTGGCTTTCCACCAATCAACCTGGCAGCCCTTTGATTGGTGGAAAACCAACCACCGTCGGGGTTGGCTGCCCACCACTTACATTATCATTGGCTGCTGACATTTGGGCTACGCTCATTTAAAACCCTTATACACAGTTTGCCTTCAAAGCTAACCCCCCTTTTTCTGAAGACGACCGCTTGTGTTGCGATCGAAACGTCGTAGTTTTTGGTAATTTTTTGTTATTTTCTTTGAACCTATCTACGTGACTTTACCGAAAGACTCAAGAATATGAATTCCTGCAGTTATGAAAGCTTTAAGTCAAAATTTATCATTAATATATTATGCAATTTGTATTTTGGGTGACAAAGACAGTTGCCAAGGTGTTGACCAGACCTTAATAGCTTTCCACTAACAGCACTGGCTCCTGCAGTCAAAAGATAAATGGGGTCAACCTTACCTCACCCTGCTGGTCTCAATCAAATGGGGACAGCAGAGTGAGGTTATGTTAGCTTAAAATATCCATTATGCTGAGGAGAGCAATGCTGAGGGTAAGGCAAATGGCAAACATGCCTAGTTTCAACACTGGGTTGTTATACACAGAACAGCCCTCTGGAAATTATGAGGACCTGATAAAATATGATTTTCCAAAGCCCAAGTCCTTGCAAAAAACAAACTATCCAAATAGCAGTCACATGGAAAACCTAATATGCTTACAATTACTATTAAAGCGACCTCAACTGTAAAATGCATAACGCTATCTCTTGTGATACTGAATTGGTTTCTAAATACAAGGTACTGGTTGAATAATTTCTACAGAGGGGAAGTATCTCCTCACCTTTTTAGTTGATCCTTCCACAAGACCTCCTTTTCATATGGCTGCTGCAGTGTAATCTTCTCCCTTCTTACAAATACATTGCTCTCCATCTCATATTTGTTCCAGTTGTTATCATTCTGTAAACATCAGCAATACACACACTCACCCTCTGAATTTGTGGGAGGCACAAGAGTATGCATGCCCCCTTACACCTATAAAATGCCTTAACTAAACTAAATTAAGTTTGAACAAATGTTTATATATGAAACAAAACATTACAAATCAAACATTTTTTTAGATCCACCACTTTTTATATGTACTTATTTGATCACGATCATTTATAAACAGACTATGCACTCTTAATGACACTAAGTTATATTGCATAGTTATGTTGAGTATTGAAAATAGTTGTAAACTAGCACAAAGTCACGTTTGCCATTTAAAACATTAATCGGGAAAACTGGTGATGTTGCAATTCTTAACGACCGGTGCAGATGCTGTCAGCTCAGGGTTAGCGCTGGGAGGACGGATCTCAGTCGCATCCATCCCGCTTATGTTTTCTTCACTGGAGACGTCTGTGTGTTCCTGAGCAATCTGCTGTTGTGTCTCATCCCTAATGCTGAACTGTCTGTAGAATGGCACTGGCTCCTTCTCCAGATGTGCCAGAGCCTGGTGGAAGCTCTTATCATCCATCAAGCTTCTGTAGTAATCCCAGTGGCAGACAAGCAACAAGTTAGGAACACATACATCTCAGTGGATACATTTTTTAAATGTTTTAATCCCAATTATATTATAGTCGTGTTATTAGCAGAATGCCATGATACAAAGACAGTTTTATTATTAAACTTGCCATGTAATTTCAGGGATTACTTTAAATATTTCCTGTAACCTAAGGTATATTTACAATTGTGTACAGTACTCTATTGTGTAAACGTACATTTTTAAAAATGAGTTTTTGCTGTACACTAAAAACATTTTCTCTGGCCCTTACTTGAGCAGGTTGGACAGCACTTGAGGCAGAAGCTCTCTCTGCTCATCTGTAAGGGGGCTGAAGGCACGCACGTCATCGTTTATGTGGCATTTCGCTCCATCCTTCATGTGACAACCCTCGTCTTTGGCTGCAGGATGGCGCAAGCAACCACTACTGTCAGAAATCCTGACAAAAAATAAACACAGGACAGAGATAAAAAGGAAATGCATGTGTTGGTCACTTCTCATGTGCTTTAAAGTTAAGCAGATCCAATTTGCCTGTATTTAACATTTCCAAATTTTCATATATGAATGTAGTTCATATTAAACTCATCAACATACCCATGAAAAACACAGGAATAAATCAATTGTGATTAAACATAGTACCATTCATATTATTTATGTAGCTTTTCAAACCCCAACAATTCAATACATTCCCACTAATAAGGGTTGAGATTGAAACCTCTTTTGTTTCCTTTGTATTTTTTGCCTCATTTAGCATGTCTCATTGGCATGGTATGCCTCATATTTCTGTCTCATTTGTGCTGTCCATCTTATGTGTATTGTCCCTGTGATTTGTACTGTCTGTCTCGATTGTTGTTTTCATCTCATTTGTACCATTTATAATATTGTAATCTAGTTTGTAATGCACAGATGGGATTTTTAGGGGTGTAATGATGCATCGATTAATTGATTGATACTGATTGTTACACTTATGATAAACACAATCATAGTGCATGTGAGAATATAGTATTTTGATTCCTATGTGGTTATTGTAATGGGTTCCTGTTAACCCTTGCATTTACGAGATGATACAGTATTCATTACAATGTTTTAAAAATAATCAATTGTGTTGGATCACATCACAACCCCAAATTGTGACAATTCATCGCACACAAATAAATAAATAAAAATCCGGTGATTGATTTGTTACAGGAATATCAATTACATGTAGTTTGTACAATTTCCTGTTGATATCAAATTGAGAGAACCTACCTCGATATGTGTACAGCAGGCATGAGCTGTGAGAATTGTGCTTCGAAGGATTGGATCGAGTGGGTCCGGATCGACACACCCAGGTGTAAAAGCTGGGGCTTGGGAAGCTCTGGCTGGGTAATTTCCTCGCGCTCCTTCCGATAGCTTCTCCTCTGACGCCGCTGGCTCCTGGTGCCCGAGTTCTCCCCGTTCTCCTCTGCACCAATTGGAGGCAGTGCCTGCAAGAGGAGATTAAGCACAGCCAAAGCAGACATTCAAGAACACTTCTGCAACATAGGACACTACACCTCGGAGTATTCAAACTAATGGTTTAGCAACTGTGTGCGTGGATGTCGTCGTTCAGTCTTTCATAATCACTTTGTGTTGGTATGTTATACAGTAATGTCAGTTAATTATCCATAAAATCCTCACAATCTTGAAACTTTTTAATGAGGTTGTTATATTGAGATGTTTGGGCAATGCCATTAATTAGTGTTAACAAATTGAGATAAATTGGTGCTATAACACAACATGTAGTTTCCGTACAAACCTTGTACTTGTTCAGATGCTTACTGGAGCCACTCAACACTGGTGATTGATGGTTTGCCAACTTCTCTGGAGCCTGTCAACAACATTTAAATAAACGTGTGACGCACGTTATATATGTATTTACACTAGACTATATATGTATTTCATATCAAGCTCACGATAGGCTGGATATTCAAGTGGTTATTAGGTTTACAATTGAGCTATTATGCGCCAATGGTTGAATTCCCATTGCTGTCACTCAGTATAGAAATTTATTTTAAAAGAAAATAGGTTATAAAGTGGACGTAAACATCCTGACAACCAAATACATATACAAAGGTATATAACGTCTGTTATTTTGCCAAGTCTATAGACCAAATAACAGATTGTGACCGAACACAAGTGGAGCATGATGCAGTTCTTCAGGAACTGCTGATGGTTTTTTGCAAAATGCATAATGGCTGTGTGATCTTTGTACCCAGTTTTGCGTGTTGCTCTCGTTGGTGTGCTCCACTCATAAGAGTGCATCCATTCCCACGTTGCCAAGTATGACCATTTCCCTTATCAGTCACTGTTCACATTTTCTGTTTATGATGCTAAACCATGAGGTGTGACCATTTATATTAACTCTCAAGGTCATTTATGAATATATTTTCCTCGTAAATGTGTTACAATGATGTCACCTGGGAGGCTCTGGATGTTGGAGCAGCCGGTGGAAGAAGGTCGTGCTCAGTAATGGTAAACTCGACCTCCTGCCGCTTATGCTCAGCGTCTCTCTCAGCCTGTTGTGATGTAAATGCCTGGAACTCCATCATGTCAATTACCTGATCCCACAAAACACATATTTAGCCTCGCACACTGTCGAAGCAAGTGCTCGTAGTGGGCACTTATTAAGGTCAACATGCATATAAGGCTGAACTGCTTCTATATATGTTGACATGCTGCTGCAAGTACACATTTTAATCTGAGTCGCTGGCCTGGAGGTATATTTAAGTGCTCATCCCACAATCAGAATGTTGCGAGTTCTCAACGAATCTACGGTCAACTCATGCAATCATCTATGAGATATTAATAAAATAAGTACCATTTTGTAAGAAGTAAACAGCCGTATCCCACAGAGTGAATGGCTCCTGCCATGGCCTCCATTGGAGATGAGAGCTGCCTAATTTCTCAGAATCAGAAAGCACCATTGATCCAAATCCCATATTGGCAATGCTCTTATTCCTTTAAGTCCTAATCATCAAGGCAATGAGCTTTGGCTACGTCACAAACAATTCTACCTTGCCCTTGTTTACTTTGTAAGCCACTGTGAGAAGAAACCAAAGTGTACAATTAGGGCACGACCGTACCTCGCATACAAGGTCGAGATCATATAAAATAGGTTGACCAAGGGCTCTGAGAGTGAGCTTGCAGAGCACACTTCCACCTGGGTGCAGCATCCCTTCCTTGGGATCTAAGTTCAGCACCTGCTGAGCGACAGACATACCACGCTTGTTGACATGCACAGAGGCACTCACCCTCTCGTTGCCATCCTATTTTCAGAGCGTTGGCAGCATGCAGCATCTCCTTCCACATCTCTAGAAAATGAATTGCCCTATCCTACTCTTTGGTTTTATTCGGTTAAGTCACGTAGGTAAAACACAAATTAAAATTAAATAAAAGAAAGAATGTAAACACGACGTTTCGGAGGCAACACAAGCTTCCGTCTTCAGGTGGAAACAGTCACAGCAAAAAATCGCTGCTGTGACTGTTTCCACTTGAAGACGGAAGCTTGTGTTGCCTCCAAAACGTCGTGTTTTCTTTTTTTCTTTTATTTAATTTTAATTTGTTTTTTTTTTACCTACGTGACTTAACCGAATAAAACCAAAGAGTATGAATTCTTGCAGTCACGAAAGCTTCAAATCTAGAATTACCCTATCCTGTTTATGTTTTTTTTTTTCAAACAGCATTTTGATTATTCTTAGGATAATTTAATACATACTAAATGGCGAATGTATACATTGTTACAATGATTGTTTATTTGTTTAGTACAATATGCATATCTAACCATGTGAGACTGTGGGTAGAGCACTTGGCTCACAATCAGAAGGTTGAGTTTACAACCTGGGTGGGGATTGACTCAGTCCATGATCCTTTGATGAAAGTACCAATTTCGTGAAAGTTAATAGGTGTCCTGTAGAAAAATTATCCCTGCCATTAGAATGTAGACTTTCCACCAATAGCTGTGGACCATCAACAGAGATGAGCACCACTCAATATTTGAATACTCAGACACTAATCTAACTTTAACTTGATAATACCAGGCTGGTGTTCTGGCACAGCAAACAAAGAATACAATTTATAAATTATTTCTGAAGCAAGAAATAATTATGAACAAGATTAAAAGTTGACTGAGCTTAAATGTTCTCATTGTGTGATGAATAATCACCCCTTTTCTTCAGTGTACCGAAATTAGGTATTCAGCGATAAACTGCAGATAATTATAACAAAGAAATTATGTTCTGATGTGTACCTATAATCACTCGAGACGTACTGTATACGATTAGGATTTATTGTATTTGATTTTAATTTGCTTGTCAAACTTGACATGACTGTACAGTAGTTGTATTTACTAAATATGTACAATAATGTCATTCAACCCAGGTCGTTGGGTTCATAGTGCAATGTGATAATGACTATCTCCTTGTTGCTTTGGTTTGTCCCTCTCACGAACTATCCTGCCAAAGTACATGTGTCAATCTGTCTGGGCGACCATATATATGCCTCACCTCAGTGTCCACGTGTGCAGGATTACGCCAGATGAAGAACACTGCCCTATCCTTGGATGTATTGCTCAGGAATACAATTCGGGTGGACTTGCTGTACACAGGCAGCTCCCCAAAGCTAAGCTGCTCCACAGACAGGTGTGACAGCTGCACGAGACACAGATATAATGGCACAAAGCGGTACTGTGATGTCACTCAGTGTAATTACGTCACACATGTATGTCGTCTCTATGGACAAATGACTTGTGGCTGCATTGGGCTATGATGTGTTCAGGAACACGAGCAATCTCAAAATTGAATTGCGATTAATACTGTGATACATTGACACCAATAGCTATCGCGACGAAATGTATTGCTCCAATACTAGGTGGGTATCAATCAAGAAGAAATTAAATAGGTTTTGTCTGTTGCCAGAAAGTCAAATGACTGAAAAACATCACAACTCCCATAACACCACAATGTCTGACACATACAATTGTCATGGTTTTATTTTCATTATAGTTTCATATTAATAGTCTATAAAAAAAAAATTAGTAGACGAATATGTGTGATTACTGCCCACATCACTTTATGAAATATAATAATTTATATAACAATTTACATTTATAAAGCGCTCAATCGTTCTCAGGGCGCATATATATATAATACACCAAATTATAAAATAGTACACATATCACCAGACTAAGACACATTTAGGATTTGTAGAATTCAATATTACTCCCTATGGCTCATACATACTGAGGAATTAATATTTTTTTATGATAAAATGTTGAAGCTCAAAACTTATAAAGCCAGCATACAAAAGTGACAACCATAGAAATAAACCGAGTTATATATGTCATGGAAGATGGGGCCACCTACATCGGTGGAAAATGACAGAGAATTCACGTTACAACTGTGAACACCAAAGACAAACTATGGACCACATTGTCCGACACTGCCCTCTTAGACCATTCAAGGGCAATGGCACAAACATCACCAACACTTCCCCGGCAGCCGTCAAATGGCTCAATAATCTCGACATTAACATATAACCACTGGTGATCACACTGGTTAACCATATGAAATAACGCCAAACCTGTACTATCCTCTGAATTGAATTTGAAGTCAATTTTAGAGGACTCCTACTCCAACTAGCTGTTTGTATACCCTGTAACATTCATCTCCTTTTGTAGTCCTAAACTAATGGAGGACATTCCCAATTGCGATGGTGGAGGCATAGCTCTTAAAGGGACGACAACTGTGGAATTTGCACAAAGTGGTACGGGGCCATCCATAAATGACGTCACGCGATTTTTGGACGATTTATTACCACCCCCCCCCCCACCTCGTCACACGGCGTCACAAAAAGTCAGACCCCCCCCCTTCATATATGACGTCACAAAGCTCTGCCCCCCCCCCCCAAACCATATTTCCATTTTGAAAATAAAAAATGCTTCAAATCGCTTTAAACTATTGTCATTGTAGTGCGTATTTAATGTGGCGCTGCACTCTGATGTTGTAGGAGTGTTGTTATAACAATTAGTGTTGTTATAACAATTCTATATTATTTAAAGTTGCGCATTTTTACGTGACGTCACATTTCTCAAACCCCCCCCCCTCGTCACACATCGTCACAAATGTCTGACCCCCCCCCCCCATAGGTACGTGACGTCATTTATGGATGGCCCCTACTCACTTATTGAACCCGATGGGCCGATCGGCTGATTTGATCCCTCAATGGGTTTTCAACTTGCAACCTTCCAATTGTGAGTTCAGCAATCTGATCAGAATGCTACTTGGCCAAATGACATTTAAGTTTATAGTACATTTCCAACTTAAACGCTGTTCCAATGTATTGATAATTCTAAGAGTAGTAGGATAAATGTTTCAAGGCAGCCTCCACGACATGCATTTCATGTGATAGTCCTGCAAGTATTCAGTTTCACCACATTAAATGGATGAAATAAACAAAATATCAATGGATAGTGTATTTTCAAATGATGCTTTCAATTCGCAATTACAAAAAGGGATTAATAGGCATACGACCAACAAGAGTTGCATTCACTACCCATGACAGATTGCTACATGGAATGGATTGCTAAGCATAAAAATAAAAGCAAAAATCAATAACTACTTTAACACTACTGAAAGGAAACCTTTTGTCTTACTGCAAGCTATTTAATGGTACTGTTGAATTATAAATGGGTTAAATTACAAAGTAACTGGAACACGTGGTGCACATTAATTGTATAAAGTATGCACCGTGTCTGATAGCACGAATAAACGGCTGTTATTTACTGAGCCGTACCATATTTCAATGTACCATGTTGTACTACAGCATTTTGTCACTGCATTTTATAGAAATACATATATGTATACAGCTAGCACCATACTGATAATTATTATAATAATTATTATCAGTATGGTACTTGCTGTATATTGTTCAAATCTTTACAGTCTTAAGAGCTATTTCTATTTTCACCGTGTAAGATTATAAAGCTTGCAAGCCTCACTATGGTCATCTTTATATAGCAAGTTTTATAACTGGGGTTCTAAACCCCTTAACCAATATAAAAAATAATTTCAAACTTCAACGCTGGTTAAAGCCAGACCAGTAGTGGGGAGTAAAAAGGTGTTGTCTTACAGATGCAGTCTTTTTGGAGCCCTTAGGCTGAATTTTTCACAAAATAATAGCGACAAACTCCAGGTTTGGTACTTCTGTACTATGCCCTATCATGCCACAATCTTGGGGGCAATTTCATCCTCTGCTGAGCCGTAATCTGCCATGCATCTCTACACTCTCCGCTGCTGTGCTGGTCATTGTACGGACCTGTAAGGGTAAGTGTGGGAAGGGTGCAGCAGATGGTAGCAGCTGGGTCAACGAGTGCACCCAGTTAAGGTGAGTGTTGTCCGTCTGCTGCTCGTCAAATCCCACACCGCGGAATGTGACCAGTGACGACTCTCCATGCAGGACGTGTATCGGCACGTCCACCTGCATGATGGGGCAGGCGCATCACAATCAGGACCCAGCGAGAGCCTATGACCTCTACTCTAAATAATATGGAACACTTTGGTGTAATTCCTCTTACACTATTTGTAATAACTTTTATTTGCAAGTTTTGTTGATTATCATATTTCGATTGTGATATTTATAAAATATAATCAGAGAGATGTCTTGTAATCACAGCAATGCATCACCTTGTGTCAGAAACCACCACCATAAGATGAATTAACATAATTGCTTCAGCAGATATCTTACTTGAACAGGCTTCTTTAGCCACATTGACATAAAACCTATGGTCTTTGAGTAAAAACAGGCTAATTAATGATAAAGTTGGAAGCTGTTTTTTAAGGCATGCAATGCTGTTGGGCACCAGGAAAAGAGGGAGGTAAGGGATAAGGTGCAATTGGAATAGTATGCAGTGGTCAATAACCAAGAGGAAAACCTTCAGCCAGATGGTGGGATTCTTTTAAGAGCAGACCTTGGAGGTCTGGTGTTAACAGTATGTGCATGATATTATTGGCATTGGCTGTTATTGCCTCTTAAACATTGAACTTCTTTCATTCTTAAATGATACCAGGGAAATTCCTGTAAATATGTTGATTCTCCTATGGGTAATTCTCATGTTAAAATCTCCATTCACTTGAAATTGATCAAAACGAGGCTAACGTGTCTCGAATATAAATCTCTGAGATTATGGAACTGTTCGAATAGCAAGCGTATTCTAAGTGGATTTACTAAAGGATCGTTGAAACATTAAATACATTTATTGGAATAGAATTCCAAAAATCTTCATCACAAAATCATCGGGGTGTCTATTAATAATTCCTATATTGTCATTCTATTAATTTAAATATATATTCCTGCATTTCCTTCGTCCAAATAATCCACATGAATTTCACAGGTCATTCGTGGACTACCAATCCTTGGAATCACGGCTAAATATGCCGTTTGGAAGTTTCCCCAAAAATACCCACAATTCCACTCATGAAATTCGAAACGTTATTCAACTCCTATAATCAGATTAAGACTCTGTGTGAGAGATGATGGGAATTGCCCAGCACGACTTCTGAATGTTTTCTGTCATGGCAGCAAGTTACATCACAGCAGTGAAGGGTGTGAGCAGCACCACAGTCAAGATCACCGTGTATGTTTTGGCCTCTAAGGGAGAGAACAGCCAGAGGGTGTGTGCAGTTTCCCCGGGCGCGATGTTCCCCTCAGGGGTGAGACACTCCAGAACGCTGTGCGAGTAGCTCTCGTCACAGACCACTCGCAGGGAGTCCTGCTGCACCAAGAAGCTCACGGGCATCGCTCCACCATTATACAGGTCAAACACCTGGCGGACACACACACAAAGACAAAGATCCCCCGTATAGCCTTAAAAGACCGTTGGGGAAAAGTGCTGTTAGGGCAAGCGCTGTTAGCACTTGTCCCAACATTGCCAATGTTTACACAATGCACCAGGTACTCATTTTAAGCTTAGTCCACCTAGAGGAGGCCCAGGACCGGTACAGATACTCGCCACTGGTGTTGGCCATGAGCGGGAATCGAACTCGAGTCGCCGGGTTCGTCGCGCAGCACGCTAACCGCTACGCTACCACTCCGCACATAAACGACACACACACATACATACAAAAACAAGTGACACAAGCAGTAGGAATGGCAACTTCGCCTCTCCAGCAAGTGTTCAGACATTACATACGACTAGCGATATTTATTGCCCAAAATTTCTGGAGGCTCCTAGAAGGGGCAAATCTGCCATATAGGGTTTTGCACGAGATGCCATAGACACCTATCCCCTCAGGGCCTCAAGCACACCACTTACTTTGGTTTTCTTGCCATGGTTCCTTGGTAATTAAATTCAACGCGAAGCGGTTAAATCACTGGCCACCTGCATTCGTCCAGAGCCCTGAATTACCACTATTTACCCGGGAAAGTCACAATGAGTCCAAAATCTCGTTTTCAGGAGGGTCCTGCATTAGCATGTTTGGCCAACACCAATGTGTTTTTCACGATGGGAGGAAACCAGATAACCCAGAGGGAACCCATGCCAAAGAGGGGGAGAACATATAAACACCACACAAAAAGATGCCTCAGGAAAGAATCTGACACAGGTCCTTTTTGCTGTGAGGCACATAGAGTGAGTTCCATAAATACGCTCCCTCATGTAACTAGAGCTTACCTGTATGGGTGGGGTTTGGCATCTCAAAGCCACAGGCAGTAATGTATGCTGGTGGGATGGGTAATGGATGTAGTGTAGATCAGAAGGAACTGTCACTCCCACCAGGTTAAGCTGCAGTACACACAGTATCAAATTAAATATCGTTCGGAATACATTTCCCAATAAATTACATTGTACAAATACACTATTTGCCGAATAATGCATCACGGAGTCTCAATAAAGGTGTTCGTGTGAGTCCTGCATTGCAACGTTTGGTTAATTTCTTAATGCATCTCTAATATCTAGTGGGAATAATCTGGAGCACCCAGAGAAACTCCATGCATAATGCATGTGACAAAATAATAATGCTCAAAAATCCATACAAAATAGTCAACAATCAATTTGATGATCTACTACGTATGTGAGCTACAAATCTTGCCTCAATAGTAGTGGATTACAGTTATGCACCATACCGCCTGGCACACTGCACTATATAGAACCAGAGTACATGATCAAGCCACGTTTAGTACATTCCTTACAGCTAGATCATTCATTTTAAAGTTTCAAATATTGTTTTTTTTAAGGTTCATTCAAAATACAGTTGTATTCCCATTTGTATTGCATCATAACTAAGGTAAAATACGTGGATTTAATTTCAGATATAAATGACGACTTTTTATCCTGAATTATCATAAAATGCTACTGCTTTAGCTAGCTTAGTCATGTAGAAAATGTCAAGGTTGTCACTATATTAAAACGTAATCACTATGCATATACCATAGCCAGGAATACTTTTTTAAGTGTAGATATACAATACTATATGTTTGTGTTTGGTAGAAACATTCAAATTAATATATAATGACTTAAAGCTTTCGTGACTGCAGGTATTCATATTCTTTGGTTCTTTCGGTAAAGTCACATAGATAGAATTTTTTTTAAATAACGTTTTGATCGCAAAACAAGCAATCGTCTTCAGGTGAAAAAATACAGCAGGCGAACTGCTGAGTCATTTACATGCAAATTACAGATTGACATATCTCTAGCAATACAATGGCCACCCCTTCAGCACCGTAGTCGTGAGGTATATCAGCCTCTCCGATCTTACATTTACATGCAAATTTCATCTCTAGCCCCGCTCACTTACCCTTGGGTTGCACCCATCTCAAACCTACATAACCTCTTGTTGCAGCAGCTCTTACGCTATATTTCTCCTGCCTCAGCAATTCGCCTGCTGTATTTTTTCACCTGAAGACGATTGCTCGTGTTGCGATCGTTACGTCGTGATTTTTTATTATTTTTAAAATTATTTTCTATCTACGTGACTTTACCGAAAGAACCAAAGAGTATTAATATATACGTCTATACAAGTTTATTAGAGTTATACTTGAATCAACCAAAAGTTATTTTTAATATATATTAGCATATGACAAAAACACATAGAAAAATAATGTGGTAGAGTGCAGAAAAAAACCAGGTGAGACCACAATAACAATTGAGTTTAATTAATACTTACAGGTATGCTCCTGCCATGAGTGACTCTGAACACCACCATCAGCCAGTCTGATGCTGGAAACTCATGCCTAAATAATTGCACATTAAAGAGGACGCAAATAACGCTTTAATTAAAATAACAAATGGAGTCAACATATCGGTGAAATCATAGTTATCTCAGAAGCTCTTACTCAAGGAATAGTGAAGTCAAAAGTCAAATATCAAGCAGCTGAAATGAGCATTAGGCAGTCCTTATCTGTTTACCCTAAGTCAGTGGTGTAAATTCCACTTCTCCCTCGTAGGAACCAGTCTGCCTATAGAACAATTACCATTGACTCCAAAACATCCTTTCAATGCCAAAGGGAGCAACGGAATAAGTCGACCCCAGAATGGAATTTGAGCACATGACAGTCCAATTGTGTGTGGAAAAAGTGCTGGAGGCAGTTGCCCTCCAACAACAACGGAGAGCAGAGGAGCGATGCTCACAACAACGAGCGGAGAGCTGGGCGGATAAAATGCAGCAAGTTGGCACAGTAGCGGGCACAGCTGATGCATCTTCCAGTCATCGAAGTCAGTCAACCCATGGCACCTTGGTCTGTTTCGTGACCTCCTGTCAGCGATCCTTCGACACTTCACGTGGCCTCAAAATGCAGCTGGTCTGGCGCAGGTGCCGTAGTGATGTCACCGTTACTTCGTGGCAAATCGCAGGTGTTGGTATTATTGGAAAGAGTGTTCTAACTGCAGCTGCACCCAACCAGCAAATGACGGTTTTGCTCAAAAAGTTGTATTAGTTGAGTGTTCTAACTGCAGCTGCACCCAACCAGCGAATGACGATTTTGCTCAAAAAGTTGTATTAGTTGAGTGTTCTAACTGCAGCTGCACCCAACCAGCGAATGACGATTTTGCTCAAAAAGTTGTATTAGTTGAGTGTTCTAACTGCAGCTGCACCCAACCAGCGAATGACGATTTTGCTCAAAAAGTTGTATTAGTTGAGAAATGCTGCCCTCTGGTGCTAGTGTGTGCACATACATGCATGTGCATTGGCATACAAGTGAGAATGAGCAGGCGTTGTGAAAAAATATAAAGTATTGTTTATGATTGACCAAGCAAGCGATGCACTGAACCAAAGGTCCTGCCAATACATGCTTGGTTGAAGGACATGAAGTGGTGGCTGGTGGGTAAATATATTAGGTGTGGCATGGAAATCCGCTTTTGTACTATCGGCTTTGGTAGGGGTGCATTTGCTCTTGGCTGGCATTGCTTCTCCAGACATCAGAAGAATGGTAGCTAGTCACGCAGAACGTCATGCTAGACCATGGACACCTACCTTTACATAGCTTTTGTCAATAGAGAGCAACGTGGCTCCAACTCTAGAACGCATGATTGCAAGCAATGTCAGCAGTTTCTAATTTCAGCAGCTACCACCAGGATAAGAATAATCACGGGCAATCTAGGGATGCCTGAACCACCTCCGCGCCAGTGTTGGCAGCTGCAAAATAAACCTAAAAAAATGTGGCTCTATTGAGACCAGGCTTAGAACACGAACTGCATCAGTGGTGAAGATAAGATGATGCCTCAACTGTTCCAGTGTAATTTGTTACAGGCGCCATCCACAGCTGACGAGTTCAGGACTGTGACTGACCGCGCAAAAGCCTGTGCCCAAAAATTTGTCGTCAATTGTCTATGTTGGTATGATGGTCATAAAATTATAAGTAGGTGCTTAATACAAGCACTTGCTCCTATGGTCTAAAAGATAAACACGAGATCTTTGTGCATGTGTGAGGCATGTGGCAAAAGATTAGTCACGTGCCTGTAGGTGACTGTGACAATTTGCTTAGCCCCTGGCTGTAGTTGGCCTCCGCGAGGGAACACAGTGAATGTCTGGTCTCTCTGGAGACGTGCAATGCGGAGTTCACGAGCGTCCAAGTCCATGTGCTCTGCCCACACCTCCAATTCCAGGGAGTTCTCATTAGGGAACACCACCGCCCTGCCAGGACACAGAGGGAATAATAGACAATCCATACTGGGAGGCTTATGGCTGCAGACTATTGCTCTGACATAAACAGCATTATTTTTATTCATAATAAAGGTTTTTGGGTTAGATCGCGTTATTTATAAATGTGTCGTAACCCTCCACCACCCGAAATCTTGTGGATTCACTCTTCAACACACCGGTGGGCTAAAGTAGTGAACTATTTGTCTTTTGTCAACGTGACACTTTTTTACTGATTGGCCGTGTCGGGTGGTGGAGGGTTACGACACATTTATAAATAACGCGATCTAACCCAAAAAACCTTTATTATGAATAATATTGGTAGCGAAAGCCTACGTGTTAAACAAGCATTATTTTTAAATGACAGTATAAGTTCTGCAGTGCTTATTGCTGAAATGTTTGCATGCTTCACCTATCCCTTACTCAGCCGAAAATAAATTATTCGCATAGTTTTGTTCCTTTAAATAACGCATCCTTTAATGATTTTTACATTTAAAATGTAGGTTTCCGTAGCCGATACTATGATCCCCATTATCTGGTGGGTTAGGCCACGTCGTAGTTTTATGCATATACTCAAACAAGCATTGGGCAGTTCTCATATAGAATGGTGGTCCTGAGCCTAGAGAATTAACTTTATATTCTTACATCTGGGCATAGTCTTCCATGGGAAATGACTGATGACTTCCTACAAAGTTTCATAAACCCTGAAGGGATAATGGACTGAGACAAGCCTTGCCCAGGATTTGAACTCACAACCTCCAAATGGTGAGTTAATACTGAATAACCTACCACACCATCACTTGGCCAAGTGGGATTTACAATATACTGCACTGTAATTAGTTAATACATTTCCACATAAGCAATAAACACCTCACCTATATGTATTCAACTGTCACTGCTTCTACAACCAATACCCTGCTAGAGAAACAATGTTTATTTAACAGGTGATTAACATCCATTTTATAACACTGCAACGGCGTAGAGCGAAATTTACATTTACATACAATTCCTGATAATCTCATCCCACGACTAAATCTGCCCACCTAATACCCCATTCCCTATTTAACAGCGTCTTATGACAGAATTGTTTTTAGAATTTTTTATGAACCCATACATATCGTATCGTGTTGCAGGCAATGAACACCTTTAGCTGAGTCAGGAAAATTGTGAGCACTGACCAGTGAGCCTCCACCAGACCAGGGTTTTGCAGGAGCAAGTGTATGACAGAGGGCTCCGCACCAGCCGAGGCTGATCCCAGGTCAAACTGCAGTGGAGGAGGGGTGCGGCAGGGCAGGACAACACGCTGCCTGCACACACATGTAACACGGTGCACACACATGTTAATGCCTGGTCCACAAGTAGACATTTTTCTACATGGTATTCCGCACAATAATGTGATAAAGTTGTTGTCGGTCAGAACTTGTCAATGGATATATCAGTCATGACTATGATATATCATGTTTGATGTCCTACTCATTGTCACACAGTCATCTAATCATGGAGTGACATCATGAGCGATGTGACATCACCTTGTTGTAACTTGCTGTTCATTTAGGCCTGCTCAAATACTTCAGACGATTTATTAGCATGAAAAACTGGCTGGAAAAGGAAGTAATGGCAAGGTTAATTTTGCAATGTAATCAGTGCCAGTGTATAGAGAGGAGACACTACCTCCCGCTGTCAGGTGCGTCCTCGTAGGGTGGCTCCAAGTCAAGGTAAAAGTTGAGCTGCCACAGGTTCATCATGGTCCATAGTTGCATCTTGCTAAGGCCGGCTGCACTGCCTGAGCCGCGCACGTTCAGCACCGAGAGAGTCGGGTGGGCGCCTTCGGCTGTCACACGGCACAGCTTGCTCACACCCAACGCCAAGCCAGCTGGGCAGTGAGAGCACACACATCACACATACAGCTTTCGATTGGAATTGAAACAACCTTTTTGACACATGGCACTTTTTTTTTGAGAACTTAACCCACAACATGAAATTCATAGGTTCAAATTCTGATCAGGGGTGGACCAAGCTCACCATCATCATATGGCTCCAATGGTGAACCACCATAAGAATGTGGAACTCTCATCACTGGCTTGTGGCCACAAATAGATGAGTACTGTTCATGCTCATTGAATTATGTTGACACATTGGAGTTTTTGATACATTTTAATAATGGCATGGGCCGATGCCATGTTAAGCACCCAAGTCATATCCTGTATTCCATAAAATATGATTTTATACTTGAGCACATTACTACATCAGACCATTGGAAAGGCCACTCATATTGTGATTGCGAAATCAGTGATCCAAATTACACATTCTTATGTAGAAGGCCAGTCTTTCCACGGGACAATCTCTGTTGACTATCCAAAAAGTGGTATTAATATTGACCCTCGAGGGGTGCTGAGCCAGCCACCAACCGGAATTTTAACTGGCATACAATTGATACAAACACACATGTAAATACATGTGCATGCTTGCCTGCATGTGTGTGTACATGTGTTACCATGCCGGGTGACCAGCCGATAGCTAACGGTCCAGTGGTAACGTCCGCTGCAAGTAGGCCTTGCCATAGCCTGCACTTGCTTCGAACAGCGAGCTGGAATGATGCTTTCATATTCATTTAGCTCCAATGCTGCAAAACAAACAAAAGACCAGGTGATTAACTCGGATTGGTGGCTCTTACCTCCACTTTAAATAATTCACACATTTCAGATGATACTATGTCAAGTGTGGCAGTGAAACCTGTAAGCCAGCATTTCGGAAGTGTGCTTGGGGGGCCATGTAGACATCATTGTGTGTGTGAAACACCGCACTTGTAGAGTTATGAGGTGGACAGTAAATGGCAGAACAAGTCGATTGCTGCTCTATCTGTATGGATATTGATTTGTTGTCCCCTTGTATGCATGTTTTCTCCAAGGACCATCTCTAAACCTTTATAAACAGTTTGCCTTTCGAGGTTAACCCCCCTTTTCCTGGTGACGACCGCTTGTGTTGCGATCGAAACGTCGTGGTTTTTATTTTTATTCCTGAAAGAACCAGAATAAGTTTACATTATAGACTGCCAGTGCGCTCACTCAGGTTAAGAACCAGGCTACAGTCTACATTATAGACTACCAGTACACTCACCAAGGTTAAGAACCAGGCTACAGTCTACATTATAGACTGCCAGTACGCTCACCGAGGTTAAGAACCAGGCTACAGTCTACATTATAGACTGCCAGTACACTCACCAAACTTAATAACCAGGCTACAGTCCACATTATAGTTTGCCCGTACACTCACTCAGATTAAGAACCAGGCTACAGTCTACATTATTGTTTTATTTTTGTTTTTTAATTTTCATTCACTTTCTTTTTTATTATTATGTTTCTATCTACGTGACTTTACCGAAAGAACCAAAGAATATAGCCAAAAAGCTCATGTAGGACCTTACTGAAAGACAGTCTTGAGACTAAATATGGTATTCTTAGGTAAGCCTTGGGTGTGGATAATCTCCTTTACTGGTCACGAGTCAGTGGTAAAAAAAAATAATCACATTCGTATGGCAGGACCAGCCTATTCATAGATCCATTATTTTAACAAAGTAGTGCTAATATTAATGACATCGGAGGGGTAATGATATTTTAACTCATGATCTTCCATTTGTGTCAGGAACTGTTCCACTGGAAAACCTTCCCATTTAAGTACTGTATGTTAATGTTAAAAAAAAACATTTCAAATGTTGCATTCACTGTTAATTCTTACTTATTAACATGCCTTACCGGTGTGTGTCATCATGACCTTGTCAGGATTACATGCCTGCAGCTGGTGCTGCTCCACGCTCAGGGTGAAACTGAGGTCACAGTTGCTATCATTGACCAGCGTCAGGTGCCCCAAGGCAGCCGTGCCAACCACTACCACACCGAGGTTCACGTCACTCTCCATAGCCTAGAGAAGACATCACAACACTGTACTGAAGTCTCAATTCACGTCAAAGTGTCTCTTTTGTTTAAATTATAATTTCCAATGATAGCCCAAATCCAGTGGAGATTTGTTTTTTATATATTTAAATAGGTCAGTGTTTCTATTAATCACTGTTGACTCTCCACTAAATTGTAGTTATTTTATCGAACACTGGGAAATGATAGGCTGAATTGACCCCTTACTGGAACTTCAGCTAAAAAGCTGATCTGGAGCTGGAGTGCTTTGACCCAGCCCCACCCAGCTGTAAATGTGTATGGGGAACAAGTTACTGGCATGGGGTCTCACTGCTCAAAGGAGAATGCCAGTGGTGTAAATTTCAATGACAAACGCCACTGTCTCTATTATTGACCTAATAGCAAGATGAACTAAATGTTTTGACTCCAGAGGAATGAAGAAGGGCTGAGTTGGCCTCTAACTGGCATTTGAACTCTGACTGCTACAGCACCGCGTGGGTGGATATGTACAAGGCAAATGGGCGTCAAGTTGGTGTTCTCACCCTGATGTTGCCAATGGCTCCCTCGCCAATGACACGCAGGGATAGGCGGGTTTTGCTGCTCGACGTTTCCTCCTTGTCTCCCTGCTGATGGCTCTGCACTGGGTCTAGCTGCCCCCCGTGCTGACTTGATGCCAGCCATACAAGGAGACTGGGTTTCAAAACATACTTTTTGTCCTCCAGTGGGGAAAAACTCCACACCTGCGACTGTAGAAGCATGTCCGTAAAAAAATATAATATAAAAAGTAGTCATATAGTTTTCTAGGCCTCTTCTGATGAAATAAACATATCTGATCATGAGTCAAACATTAAAACGTCTCCTTGCTCAATGGAAACAGCGGCGGTTTTCATCTTCTTCATCTGTTGTAGAAATTCCACATTCCCACAAAGGGTTCCAAGATATTCATAGCATGGCCACTGTTGACTTTTCACAAAGTGGAATTTATTTGATCGACTCAGCTGAAGACTTGGTGCTCATGTATAACAGAAAAATATAGGTGACTTTTGGTAATTGGCCTTCCTGCTTTATAAAAGGGACGTTGGTTAAATGTTGACCAACACTATATATTCCTGAAATAACAATGATGTAAATGTAATGCAGTGCATTACATTTACATAATTGTAATTACATATTTCCACGGTCTGAGACTTTTTCAACAGGGGCCTGCATTCAGATGTTTGGTAAATTCCACTTTAAGAAATGTTATTATTACGTGGGGGAAAATAGAGTACCTGGAGCAAACCCATGTTTTGAGGGGATAACACAATTTTTTGCTCATCTCACAGCCCAGAAGGATTGGGAGTTTAACACATCTACATGATCCACAAACCCTTGCGTTTAAAGTACTAATTACAGGTGTGCAACACACCCAGCTATACGAGTCATTCAAATGAGCCAGATGGCTCATATGTACAGGAAACACACACACACACATCACTCACCACACTCTCATTTGGCTGAATGATGCCATGTGCAGGTGAGACACTCAATGTGCCACTGCCTGTAACGTTCCACTGAAAGCACAGGGGCAGCTGGCAGCAGTTGTGAATGGTATGTGAGCGCTGTGACATGGTCCCTATACATGTAGGCTTAAAAAACAGCCTCCCGTTGCCTTCAAGCTGCACTTGTGGCCGGTCCACCAGCCACGACACCTCCATATTCTGAAATTATGACAAATATACATATGCTCATTAGATGTCAGCCTGAAAGAATGATACAACCCAAAAACAAATAGCTCTTATCCTGTCGGTCCACGCTTAGGTTGTGTGTACATGAGGGTCTAACATCAGCTTGAAGCTTTGTTTATAAGAAAAAAACCCCATCTCAATTCCATTCAGACAGCCTGTCACAGGGCCCTATTAACATTATTTTAACGATAAATTAAAATGTATGGCAATAAAGTCACAGTGATGTCACTATTATGGTGTAATGGAGCATAATGACCGCTCTAAGTTAAACAATGCAACTTGTTTGTCATTTAGTTGCTCATACTAATGTTTTTGTCCATATTGCTCTATTTAAAATGAGCTACAATAGTGGAAAAAGTTAAATTACATTTAGGGCTGCGTCTCAAAAATAACAATATGTAAAATCACATTGAAACAGTTACATACACAACAGCACTTTTATTGGCTGGATAATTTGACATGAGGTTCACAGATTCAGGGTGACAATGTCTGTAATATTAAAATATATATTTTTATATATATTTTTTATGTATGCGGGTTTGGAGAAGTGTTAAAATAAGGACTAGCTTGGGTGATAATTTTTCAGGTAATTAAGAAACACAAAGCACTATCGTCACACATATTGGGATGGAGCAGGGTGCTTTGGAGAGACGGGGGGGTGAGGGGAGTAAAAGCGCCGTGACTCACCTTTGTATATTGACCACAGTAATTGAGAAGAATAGGCAACACTTGGCAATAGAGTCCCGGAGCGCTGGAGGAGGCCCGAAGCAAAACCACCTGCTTCCCTCCAGGGGGCACCAACCCCTGACTGGGTCTCACCACCAGTCCCACCCCCTCAGGTCCTCTGGATCCGATGGCACCATTAAGTCGCTCCTGAGACCTGCTTTCCCCTTTTCCCTGGGCCAGACTGGGCTGCCCCAGGGTTGAGGTGCCAGGGTTTGGTTTCCCACTAGCTGGGCAGGCACCCACCGGTAGGCTGAAGAACATTGGTGTGTCCCCCGTGTTTGTAAGCACAGCAGTGGTGTGGGTACTTTTTCCAGCCGTCACTGCTGGGAATTCCTTTCAACAAAAAAAAAAGGTTAAGGGTTTGTGTAGGACTGGCAGTGGTGGTAGGTGACAAGTTATGAAATCAAGAGTGATCAAGACAGTCACTGTTATGTAATGAAGAAATGTAATGAACAGTCATACAGTCCAATAAAAACTATGGACATGGAACAATTCCTTATTCCCGCTGCGATTTAATGCATTTCAGTGAATAAGCCTCACATGCTTCAATTATTCTTTAAGTACGTTAAGCATGCTAAAGAACTAATATGTAATGTTTTAATCATGTATACTTTCTTTTTTTACGTGCTGTATGTACACACTTGAATAATAACAAGTTATAATATTACGTATTTATATATTAAGCAAACATGATAGGGTGAGCATTGTGCAGAAATAACTGTATCCTACTGATGATGATGTGACCAAATATCATGGACCTTTACTCTACAGATTGCTCTTGATTTAACCCATGCAGCACACTGCATACACCAGTCCCATATACCTGTCACACAAAGCAGCATCGTGAAGATTAAGAAGTGATGTAACATGCATCGTGTTGTATGCAGTTATTGCTGCATCAAGCTGTATGGTATAACAAGGTCTTTACATGAAGGGTTCCATCCATGTATTATGAGCATAATGACGTATTTTAATGTATGAATTGATGCCTACGAAAGATGCAAATATCCACACCAAGGGGAGAGAAATCTTGCAAAACTTGAAGTGTGCATGGCTGCAGTTGTTCTTACTACATGGGCAGTGGACAAGTTGCAGGTGGGCGGGAAGGGCTGCTGTCCTGGCTGAAACGTGTGTGTGCTCACAGCCAGGGTAAGGCACCAAGGTAGGCACATTGTAGGCTCCTCCACCAGGCGAAAGTCTTTCATGCTCTAAAACAACATTGGACCTCCACTGAGTGCAAGATCTCAGTAAGCATTGAGTAAGAATAACGTAGATATAGGAGCCCCAGGGATGAACAAGGCTAGGGCATGAATCTACAAAAACACTATATTTTATAGTGATCACTTCATGTATTCCTACAAAGCCAATCAATTAGCGCAGTTGGCTACGTATGGTGCGAAAGAAGTGAAACTTACATACAGGAATGTATTTAATACCTTTTACTTAAATAATCTAGACAATGGATATTGAGAAGACCATATGGTGAATTTAGGAATGCAAATTACTTGATTATCTGGCCATAAGTCTAACAAGCATTTAGCTTGGCTAGAGTCAAAAAATCGTGCTCTAGTGCAACACAATTCCAAATTTATGAGTTTGGCAAAATTTCGCATCACGGCACCAACCTTGTAGAAAGCGCAGGCTTCCAGCTCAGCATAGTGCAGCGTGTTCCTGCGTCGAGGGCGGAATGTGACTCTGAGCGCTATCGTCTTGAGGGGTGGCACTTCACATTCAGCTGGCTCCACGTGGAACTCCCCACCAGCTGAGGCTGTCCACACCACGCAGACAGCGCCGTGCGTGTGGTTTCGCAGGGACAGGGCAAGAGCCGCAGCCTTCTCGCCATCACGCACAAAAGCGCTGAAGTCCAGCATGCTAGCACTGAGGCTGACATGAGTGGGAGGAAGTGCCTCGTCCCAGCACAATTCGGATCGTACATCAACCCGGTGTTCAAAAACAGCATTGCTGGGTGCGACTGTAGTTGGTTCCTGCTTCTCCACCTCTTCCTGCAGTAAATAAACAGTGATAATGTGTCACGATTATGATGCTTAAGAAAAAAAATTCCACTTTCCTGCAGATATGTTACACGTTTTTTTTCAATATTGCTTAATTGATCAAGTACTGATCAAGTTACATTTGAAGAGTTATGGTGTGGAATTGTTGAATAAAAAAAACTGGATTCGTGTGTAATTTTAAAGGTACAAAATAGGTTGTATTATGAGCCCTGAATAATTTATGCCAACATACCTAGCCATACTCTGACACATTACCGATAGATAAGATGCAATAAATGTATTTGAAACAATGATGTGGGAGACAGATTTTCCACAGGAAAGCCACATCAGGAACTCCCCTTACTTCCCATAACTTAAACATAAGATATGCCTAGACTGCAATGTTTTACATAAATACTGTAAATGCAGACCTTTCCAGCCAAAGTTGGGGCCCAGGGCAGTTGGTCAGGGATGAGAAAGAGGTCAAAAACAAGACAACAGGCTGGCCCCATAAGGGGAGCCTATCGACTGTGCTGCCTGTGCTGTCTTCACCTAGAGCAACCTCAGAGCCTCCAAAGCAGCGTAGCTACCAGGATCCCTGAAAGAGTGGATATCAATAATTAGCACCTGGGAAGGGATAAGCGACCCATCAGTGGGGTCCAGGCAGAGCTTCTTGTTGTGCAGCATGGAGAGAAGGGTAGCCGGTGACTGCAGGGTCAGGCCACGCCGCGCATTGGTGTGACATCGCTGCACATGTTCGCCACGCAGCACCGCCGGAGTCGTCTCCACCGTGCTGCCTGCTCCTAACAGCTCCACGTACACAGGAGCCTGGCCACAAATGGGCACCAAGACAATCACAGTCGACGTCATAATGCCGTGGCGCCAACTTGGGTGGCATTGCGTTCAGAGCGCTCAATGTACGATTGGAAGATCACGAGTTCAAAATCTAGGTTGAATTTTTTAGCCTCTTAGCTCACTGGGATTGATAAAATGTTCACTACTTTGTGGGAAAAAAAACTTTGTTTTCATGTGCTATGAAGAAGGGCCATTGCCCGAAACGTTGCCTATTTTATCTATAACAAATGTGTTGTTGTTTTTTTGTTGATTGTGCAGCAACATCGAATAATTTTATAAAACAATGTCTGTTTGTCCTTTAAATCAGAATTCCAAGTGTTTCATAGCAGCAGCCAATTAATTCTTAAGGAGTGTTTTTCATATAATAGGGACTTGGAGAATACCTACACATATGAGTAGATACATAACCCAAACAATGTAGCCTTGCCTGCAAGAGGAGCACACATACACACATACCTGCTGGTGCACTAGACAGGCCACACGCCGATAGTAGTTGATGGGGTGCTGGGGTGTGAATGTGACACGAAGCTGCACAGTGGCATGAGGTGGCAGCTCGCCACAAACTCGCTCCAAGCCAAAAACACTGCTCTCCGTGTCCAGTGCAAACTGGAAGATGGCAGGCACAGCCGAAGAATTGCGAAGTTCCAGCGTTCGCACGCCCACCTCGCCAACAAGCAAGCGGTCGAACACCAGCAGTGTTTCGCTCATTGTGACACTTGGGCCTGAAATGTAGGGCAAAACTAAATGAACAGATGTCCTCTATTCGTCTAAGAATGTCTTGCTAATAACATTTGGTCAATTCCTTTTTAAGAAGTGTTTCGCAACGTCGGAGAAGACTGGAGTACCGACAGAAAGTCCATGCATACATAGAAGGAAAACTCCCACAAATTTAAAATTAAGTTTAAATATGTAAACCCCCAAAAAGCCACCTCTCACCTTGGCAGCTTCCTGTGAGCTTGACAATGCACTTGGGCAAGTTGCCAGCCATGACCACGTGAAGGTATTGGGTGGTGCAGCAACCAACCGTGACTGGGCTGAACCGCACGGGCACACGTGCCGAGCCCTGGGGATTGACCCATCCCTGCTGAATTCGGCAACCAAACAGGTTTCTCCTTTGTGGGTTCGGAGTGGTAATCTCAACCTGGAATGATGCCTTCACCTTTCAATTGAGGTAAGGATGGAGGGGAGATAATAAGAACAGGGGGTGTGGGGAATATTTAGGGTAGAATCTAGTGTATAGTCTATTAATACTGTTTCCATCTGCATGGCACTGTGGTTTGAGTACTTGACATGTATGGCCTGGCAGAGCCCAAGTCGTAATGAATTAATATACCTAAAAGAACCCCATTCCTGTTGCACTGCCACTCTGCTAAATTAGTAGGAGCAGGGCCCCTGCAGGACAACTATCAGGCACAATGGTGGTCACATTTGCAGGCTCTGTTCTTTTAGGATGAACAAAAAAAGAGCATGGGCAAGCCAGCCAACACGTCCACTTGTATAGGTGGAGGGAGATGGAAGGTCACTCAGAGATGCAGAGAAGAACTCTCTGCTCAATATGGCTGATACCTCAGTTATGACTGTACTGCCAAATTTTAGGGTGAGGAAAAACTTTCACAAGTACATCTCATGTTATATCTTCTACGGCAACACACTTAGTTTATTGTAGGCAAAAGCCACACCAATATAGGCGTGTGTGCTTGCTTATATAGAGTGCAGTTTTAATTTTTACTTTTATATGCATAGTATATGCATTTTATTACGCCTATTAACATCTGTCTCAAGATAACCATGCAACTTAAGTTACTGTCACTTACTGAGGAGAGATTCTGGATGTGGAGCCACTTTTCAGAGATGGCACCTGCTTCCACATTGCCAAAATTCAGCACTTGTTGTGAGTCATATTGGCGGTGCTGTGTGTCTGTATCTCCGGCACTAACTACCAGGCGTGGGTATTGAGCTGCGTATACACAACACACAGACACATGCATGCACACTTACATATTCACGTGAAAACATTTGCATAACGTCCATAAAATTCAAACAAATATAGTGAAACTCAATCTAGTGTTCTTCAGGGGACTGGAAACAAAATGTGGAATCTGGGAATGCTATTATTGACATACATTAATATGTGTTCGGTCAGCGGGCACCTATTAATGCCTGTATAACAGTGTATTGTGGTGAGAACCACACCCAGCCAACTTTGTCTTCCTCGTGCTGATGTTTTTAAGGGGCACAGCGATGCACAGTCAGAAAATCAGAGACATATAGCATGGAGATGTAGGAAATGAAATATGAAAAAACTTGGGATCGAAGACTTATGGAGTATGAGGGGCAGTGTCAGAGAGGCAGATAGAGGAACCGAGTAGGAGAAACAGGCAGAATGAAATACATTATTGTTATTATGGAAGGAAATAGAATTTCCTGATACAAAAATGTCCTGTATCCAATGTTATTTTTTCTGATCTCTTGAAGAAAGTAGATTGAGGTTTGACTGCAACATATAAACGAGCTGAATGGCTGTAGAATTACATACACTGGCCTGAGTATTCAACTTTTGATGATAGCCCTCACCAATAGCCTGTAGCTCCACGACGCTGCTGGATGAGAGGGCCTCTCCATAGCGGCATGTGGCCATGGCGTAGTAGGGCCCAGCCTCGGTGGCATGAACGGAGGCTGTGATGCGGAGGGATGCATTGGGAGAAAGCACACCCTGTGCAGGCTCCATGGAGAATGGAGGTGGCACCTCCCAGCCAAACGAAGTCTCCAGCTCGCTGGTGGTAGATGACAGAGTCCACTGCATGTGATTTATGCACGTGTTAATAATACTGATAGTGAGTCCGATAAGGTAGATGAGGGAAACACAACCAAGAATATACACACAATAATAATGTGTTCCCCCAACAATTGAATTTTATCCAATGTTACCATTCAATGCAAACTAATAATCTTACCTAAATGGTAGTATATTGAAGAAATGTGCTCTCATTATAACCAGAACAAAATAGGAATTTGTTTGATACTAAAATCGTGAAAATGTATGTCATGGCAAGAGGTCAAACTAAAGTTAAAAAAAGAATTGGGCCATCATAAGAGTGCCGAATTATGCTGTACACATACCATAAAGAAGACAATCATGATGCCCATAATGATGATAAGGGAGATGATGATGAAGATTGAGGAATGTATGTGCAAGTATAAAACTATTAAAAAGGTATAAATGTTCTCTACAAAGCCATACAATGGTACCTTCTGTTGTGCATGTCAAAATGGACCTCTTGATTGTGAAAGGTGGCACAGTGGCCAAAGGTCAGGGATCCAGGCAGGTGGAGCTTGTGTGTAGGCAACGTGGCTCGCAGGACCACACAGAATCTGCCTTCGACTGACTCAAACTCCAACCGCTCTTCATATTCTCTCTGTGCACACACCATGGAGCATATATGCATTGTATCACCGCTATTCATGGCTAATGTGCTTTCATTCAATAGTTCATAGGAAGTCAAGGAGCAAATGTTTCAAGATTGCAATGTTACGAGTTCAAATATCTGTCATGGTTCTACTGGGTAATTTATTCCTCAAGGGTTGATAAAATATCTACCGCTTTGTGATGAGACTATAGTGGTTGTCAAATGAATATATTGGCCACTGGCATATGCAGGGGCGGAGCCAGGGGGGGTGACAGGGGTGACATTCTGCGTATAAGTGTACGACACTCGGTCTGGCGGACTCCGTGCAACTGCATTGTCAGAGTGTGTCACCAATCGATGGCGTCTAGTTCAACAGCCTGACTTTATAATCATTCTTGAAATTAAAATTTGTTGAATGTCACCCCGGCCTGAAATCCTGGCTCCGCCCCTGGGCATATGCATGTGGAATTTACACCATTGGCTGAGGCCTGCCAACAGAGATGAGTACCATCTAATGCATATTTGAGCAGGAAGACACTTAAGACAGTCGAGATGTGGAAAAGAGAAGATGTACACACATTCAAAGGTAGACCTAAATTGCAATTACATTATTTGAAATATGAAAATTATAATCCACGAATATGAATATTGCTGATATAGATATATTTTCAATGACTATGTTTCACGTAATATTTTCATTGTTAATATTTATTCTTGGATTAAATCATGGAAATTCGTCAAATTGCTAGGGGAAGAATTGGTACACCCCTATTAATAGTAGACTGCAGTGGAGGTCAGGTTGGTGGACCACGCAGATAAATGAGCATGAAAAGCCCAACAACAGGATTACGAGATATCCTCTAGATGGCCTGTGCATTGAAGGCCCTTAAAAGCTCTCCATTCCTTCTGAGGGTGGCAAAATTCTATTGAATTATTATATGATAGTCTACAGTATAACATGACTCAGGAATGTGTAATGGTTTAACATCGGAAGCTTGTCCATTCATATTTGTTCAGCAACACCCCTAGCATCACCTTTTCCAGTGGCCTGAATATGATGGGGAGAGTGTAGCTGGTGCCAGAGTTGAGGATTATGGGCTGCGGGTAGAGTGTGCTGAACACCAGGCTGCTAGGAACCCTGCAATGAGTATAATGAAAAAGACAAGGGTTTTTTTTCTGCATGATGCCCATCACAATGGAATTCAGTTTCTGCACGGAAATAAATAACTTCCCACATTTATTCAGGTTAAATTTACTTGTACTATAAGTGAGTTCATAAAGTGTCTGTCTGTATGCCAGCTTTTACTCCAGAAATGAGAAGAACTGATGCATTGGATCTCATTCGAACAAAGTTATCTTCGGAATGTTCGTTAACTGAACTTATACAACACAAATTATTGTATCAAAAAGCATGCAGTTGACTTGTCAAAAAATTACGACTTAAAACTTTCGTGACTGCTGGAATTCATATTCAATGGTTCTTTCGGTAAAGTCACGTAGATAGAAACAAATTATAACGATAAAATAATAAAAAAGTGAATAAAAATATCACAACGTTTCGATCGCAACACAAGCGGTCGTCATCAGGAACAGGGAAGTTAGCCTCTGAGGGAAAGCTGTTTATAAAGGTTTAGAGATGGCGTGGCAGCTGTTAATGTAGGAGGCTCCGACACCGGCAGCAGGTCGACACCATTCAAAGAGCTGTTTATAAAGGTGTAGAGATGGGCGGGGCAACTAATTAGCTGCCCCGCCCATCTCTAAACCTTTATAAATTAGCTGCCCCGCCCATCTCTAAACCTTTATAAACAGCTTTCCCTCAGAGGCTAACCTCCCTGTTCCTGATGACGACCGCTTGTGTTGTTATCGAAACGTCGTGATATTTTTATTCACTTTATTTTTCATTATTTTATTGCTATTATTTTTTTTTCTATCTACCTACATGACTTTACCGAAAGAACCATATAATATAACTGGCAATACATCTGGTTGCACCTATTAAAAGTGGCAATTTTAAGTCAATGAAATCGTGTGGTGGAGCAGTTATTGAGTTCCACACCTGTAGGTCAGCTTCACTGCCCTTGACAGCACATTTTTCAGGAAGATCTTCTTGGTGTTCTCTCGGCCAGGCTGCCAGCCTGTCCAGAGCACTTCTGCCACAGTCTCAATGCCGCAGGCCAGCACCCTTTGCCCATGGTTCTGTGCCTTTCTCCCTGCCTTGCCCACATTTGCCACGGACGTGTGTGCCTTGGGATGCTGAGTGCATCAGCATTCAGAAGGTATGGCAGATTTTTTTTTATGAGTAATGCAGATATTGTGGTGGTGATGGTGGGGAGTGATGAATGTGGTTGGGAAAATATAAAGGTGAATGGTGGGGAGAGTGAGGTGGTGTATGACAGGAAGTGTATAGTGAGTGGGTGGTGGTTGGTAGAGAAAAAGCAATGAAGGTGTTTGTGGGTGGGTGATTAAAGTGTAGGTGGTGTTTGGGTGTTGTGATAATATAAGGTGAAGGTGGATAGTAGAAAAAGATTGATAGTGAGGGCAGAGATGTAAAAACAAAGCAACTCTGAGTAGGCGATATGAATGTTAATTTAATCTATATATAAGTAAAACAATGTTTGTGTGTGGGTTTGTTTGTGTGTTCACGCGCTTGCGAAGGATTTGGCTCTCCAATGGTGGGGTTTACGTTATATAAAAATAGCCAGGTATCACGCCGTAAGCCCCACCATCAGCAAGCGCTATTCCTTTTTCACATCTGTCAACTTTAAATAAGTTTAATTAGCGATTTAGTGCGATTTTTTCGTGTGCTTTCCCTTTATTTTGTATTTACTACGCGTGCACGACCATACCAACTGACACGCCTTTGGTGGGGGGGACGGCCCATGCCAAGTCGCACACCTTCGGTGGGAGTGAGGGGGACATTTTATTTCGCGTTAAAAATGCAAAAAAATACACTAAACGCCGAGGTTAATTTTTCACTGTGTGATGTCCCCCCCACCCCAATGCGTGCAGTTACTACTATACAGTCGGTACATGCTACCACTATAGGCCGTAGATATTACTGCAGAGCGGCCGGGGAGATCGTGGCTGGGGAGGGGGGGGGGTCAGGGGTAGCAGCCCAGTCCCAGCCTGCCAAGGTGCCACCTCGGCCGGCTGGACAATCTAGGCGAGGCCGGAGGCTCTGCACAGGACTAGGCCTCACCACGCCACTCTGTCAGGTGAGTACTTTGTGCTATAGAGTCAGCATGTACTACTGTAGCGATAGCAGGTACCACCACAGTCGGTATACACTGCTGTAATCATAGCAGGTACCACCACAGTCAGTATGCACTGCTGTTAGATTCTGAAGAGTATTTTTTAAAATATTTTTTTGACCCGGGCAACGCCGGGTACTTCCCGCTAGCCTTTAATAAATCAAAGCATGCTGAGAACAGTGGCACCCTACGGCAGTGAACTGGGATAATGCAATTAAAACCCAACCAGTTCACCTCGAGTCTATACTGCACCAAAACTTAAGATCTTCATCAGGGGTAGATATATATATCGAAGATAATGGTTTATATAGTTTATCACAGGCCTATCATGCAAAGTGGACAAGATCAAAGGGAACTACTTTAAGGGTAGTAGGTGAGTTTTCATGCATTTCATTTATATTATTGTATATGAGGCTGGAGAAACAGATGTCAGTTACAATACCAAGTAATATGAGCAAAGAGAAGAAACCGATCTCTATTTATATACGACTATCTTCCTGTCCAAAACCAATGTGTTATGGCGGCATCATAATCTCATTGTGTCTTATAACTCACGTTATTATCGCTAATTAAATACCCACAAGGACCAACCCGTATTATAAAGCGTCGCAGAAGCCACGCATGTTTGTAATCATTAGCCCTTGTTAATTTGCAATGTTACTAGTTACAGTGAGGGAAAAAAGTATTTGATCCCCTGCTGACTTTGTACGTTTGCCCACTGACAAAGAAATTATCAGTCTATAATTTTAATGGTAGGTTTATTTGAACAGTTAGAGACAGAATAACAACAACAAAATTCAGAAAAACGCATGTCAAAAATATTATAAATTGATTTGCATTTTAATGAGGGAAATAAGTATTTGACCCCTCTGCAAAACATGACTTAGTACTTGGTGGCAAAACCCTTGTTGGCAATCACAGAGGTCAGACGTTTCTTGTAGTTGGCCACCAGGTTTGCACACATCTCAGGAGGGATTTTGTCCCACTCCTCTTTGCAGATCTTCTCCAAGTCATTAAGGTTTCGAGGCTGACGTTTGGCAATTCGAACCTTCAGCTCCCACCACAGATTTTCTGTGGGATTAAGGTCGGGAGACTGGCTAGGCCACTCCAGGACCTTAATGTGCTTCTTCTTGAGCCACTCCTGTGTTGCCTTGGCCATGTGTTTTGGGTCATTGTCATGCTGGAATACCCATCCACAACCCATTTTCAATGCCCTGGCTGAGGGAAGGAGGTTCTCACCAAAGATTTGACAGTACATGGCCCCGTCCATCGTCCCTTTGATGCGGTGAAGTTGTCCTGTTCCCTTAGCAGAAAAACACCCCCAAAGCATAATGTTTCCACCTCCATGTTTGACGGTGGGGATGGTGTTCTTGGAGTCATAGGCAGCATTCCTCCTCCTCCAAACACGGCGAGTTGAGTTGATGCCAAAGAGCTCCATTTTGGTCTCATCTGACCACAACACTTTCACCCAGTTGTCCTCTGAATCATTCAGATGTTCATTGGCAAACTTTTGACGGGCATGTATATGTGCTTTCTTGAGCAGGGGGACCTTGCGGGCGCTGCAGAATTTCAGTCCTTCACGGCGTAGTGTGTTACCAATTTTTTCTTGGCGACTATGGTCCCAGCTGCCTTGAGATCATTGACAAGATCCTCCTGTGTAGTTCTGGGCTGATTCCTCACCATTCTCATGATCATTGCAACTCCACGAGGTGAGATCATGCATGGAGCCCCAGGCCGAGGGAGATTGACAGTTCTTTTGTGTTTCTTCCATTTGTGAATAATCGCACCAACTGTTGTCACCTTCTCACCAAGCTGCTAGGCAATGGTCTTGTAGCCCATTCCAGCCTTGTGTAGGTCTACAATCTTGTCCCTGACATCCTTAGAGAGCTCTTTGGTCTTGGCCATGGTGGAGAGTTTGGAATCTGATTGATTGCTTCTGTGGACAGGTGTCTTTTATACAGGTAACAAGCTGAGATTAGGAGCACTCCCTTTAAGTGTGCACTTAATCGCAGCTCGTTACCTGTATAAAAGACACCTGGGAGCCAGAAATCTTTCCGATTGAGAAGGGGTCAAATACTTATTTCCCTCATTAAAATGCAAATCAATTTATAACATTTTTGACATGCGTTTTTCTGAATTTTGTTGTTGTTATTCTGTCTCTCACTATTCAAATAAACCTACCATTAAAATTATAGACTGATCATTTCTTTGTCAGTGGGCAAACGTACAAAATCAGCAGGGGATCAAATACTTGTTTTCCTCTCTGTACATATAGTTAATACTTTTTATGATAAAAAAAACATTTGAACTGTACATTGTAATAATGATAATTATACAGCTGAGGTAATATTGAAATGTCATACCTTTTCATTTAATTGGTGATGCATTGACGGGGCAGGGCAGGACTGACAGTGAGCCAGCATCTGAATACAAGACAGAAGGAACAAGGGTCGTGTGCCTTATATGATGTAATAGTCCCACTTTGATGCATGCTGGGACATACTTTGCATACTTATCATCTTGACAGATAATTATAAAGATCTGTCACAGCACTTTTTTGTATCACACATCAAATGAGAAGGTTGGGCAAACTGGCTTGGGCAGGAAACCTGTCATCAATAAAACAAAATAACTTTAAACAAAAACGTTATTTATATAAATTTCAAAAACTTCCTCATTTTTTGAGGTTGTAATTCGGAGAGGAATAACAATTAAATAGCCTGGTGATTTGATAACTTTTAACAATTAAGTGTACAAGCGGCCGTTCATAAATGACGTCACACACCTAGGGGGGGGGGGGGGCAGACATTTGTGACGATGTGTGACGAGGGGGGGGTTTCAGAAATGTGACGTCACATCAAAATGCGCAACTTTAAATATAGACAGCACGTTCTACTTAATTATACTTCTTAATAAATGTTTTCTCCTACAACATCAGAATGCAGCGCCACATTACATACGCACAATGACAATAGTTTAAAGCGATTTGAAGCATGTTTTATTTGGGGGGGGGGGCAGAGCTTTGTGACGTCATATTTGAGGGGGGGTCTGACTTTTTGTGACGCCGTGTGACGAGGGGCGGGGGTCAAAAATCTTCCAAAATCGCGTGACGTCATTCATGGACGGCCCCCAATTCAAATCAAACATTATTTCCTGTGAATGTAGCAGCCACTAGTGGCTGGGAAGGGGGTACACAATATGCAAAAGAATGATAACCACTGCAATAAATTCACACGTCTATTCACACGTCTCGTATCCGTGTGCTATATTCTCCCGATGAAAACTAAACTATTACATTTTTTAAACGTCACTTTTTTTTCATCAGGTAAGGCCCACTTAGCAATATAGATTTTTTTTCCAGAAGCATCTTGGCCACAACTCATAGCTCAACGAAGTGGCTTATCACGTGGACATTTATCGCAGCCAAATACCCCAAACGCATGTTTCTAAAGTGGAGGGAAAACCCGGAGGACCTGGAGAAAAATACACGTGACCACGGGGAGAACAATCAAACTCCAAATATACAGGCGAGCATTGGCCCAGATTAGAGAAAGTGATCCTGCAGTCTCTACAGATTAATTGTATAATTCAAGCTGTTTGTTACAGACGAGTCACAGTGGGAATTAAGTTTCCCGAACAGGCAAGTTTCTTATGATTATTTGAGCGTTTGCATAAATGGGAGGTGCACACTGGCTGGAGTGTAACATTCTCACTGTCCATCCTTGTTTTTGCCACGCGTTACCACTCCGATAAACGGAGTAAAATGTGTGGTTAAAACCTGATAATAAGACCTGACCATAGCACTCCACCATATCAAATTAGAACAAGTCGTTAAGATTATTGCCAAATATTTAAACTGCCGCGCCGGGAGGTGAAATCAAAGTGGCGACCTCTGTCTGCGGTTGAAAGTCGTGTTCTAACCATTACACCGCAGGGCAAGCACTCCAAACATATACGAATACAGAAAACATAGACGCTATATCGGTAGCGTAATGCTTGCTATTGAGGTAAATGTACACTAATATATAAGCCGTAGACGAATGTTTAACCACAAATAAAACAAAACATTTAATGCTGCAAGTAAAACAATCCAAATGTACACTAACATACAAGCCGTAGACGAATGTTTAACCACAAATAAAACAAAACATTTAATGCTGCAAGTAAAACACTCCAAATGTAAAGTCAGTGTCTCCCTTCTACAACGAGCACGTGCGGTCCTGAGGCAGTGGTGGAAATTCCACATTCCTACGACGGGGCTCGGTCCAACCAAACAGAATAAAACAGTCGATTTTCCGTTGGTTAATTCTTATGTTATCGACCTCGTGGTGACGATTGAGGCGATTGATCTCGCGATCCTCCGAATGCAAGCGTTAAATGTCGCACGGGCGAGGCGTTAAACAATCAATCAACGAACAACAACAAAAAAATTTACACACGTTCGTGACCGAACGGGAACTTCACGACGGCCGCTCGCTTCGTAACTCCCCCCCGCGTTATCGATACAAAAGAGCGCCAGGCTGTCAAACTAAACGTCGACGAAGGTGAACTTAACAAGCAAAACGATACAAAACGCGAATGTCGGTGGTTTACTTGAGCGGTGGGTGGGTAGGGGGGGGGGGGCGACTTGGGGGTCGCGTCGCGCGCTGCCGTGGCAACGGAAAGGCGTGACGTCACGACGCCACTGGCCAATGAGAGCAGTCGCCGCCTTGGACACAAACTGCCAAGCATGCGGCGTAACGATGTAATGGTGACCCAAACTGTGTCCCGCGGCGTGACGTCACTCCACATGAGGCCCACCGCCCCCGCGTGACGTCACTCCACATGAGGCCAACCACCCCCCCCTCCCCTCATTATTATTCATGAGTGGGTGGATTTTTAGATTTTTACTAGCTGAAATAAATAATGTATTTATTACGCAAAGTGGCTTCAAATATTAAGACGTTTCTTCACAGAAAGTGACGGTAAAAAATAAATATACGCAGAACAGTGCTACATCCGTACGTGACGTCATTGCAAAAGAGGCCCCCCCCCTCCCCTTTCATTAATAATCATGAGCGAGTGGATTTTTACACTCCCGCAGGTCGAGCGGAAATAAATATGTTTACGCAAATTCACTTTCAATTTGACGTTTCTTTATTCAAAAAGATAATCAAATACTAATATGAGCCAAGAATGTGTTTCCCGCTCGTGACGTCACTCCACATGAGACCCCCCACGTGACGTCACTCCACGAGGCCCACCCCCTCATTAATATTCATGTATGGGTGTGTTTTTACACTCAAGCAGAGTAAGGTCGAGCTCAATTAAATTATTTATTACGCAAAGTCGCTTCAAATATTATGACGTACGCCTTTTGGCGTCATGTGGTCGAGTACCAATTGGGTCGAGGCTCAAAAGAAAGCCGTCCCTTGGTGTGGACCAATCAGTTTCAAGGACAATGCATCATATATTATCATAGTATGTTTTTTTTGTTTGCATTTTGACTGCAGGTATTGTGGTTAATGCAGACATGAATCCTTGTAAAAAGGTTTCAGTTTTGTTGCCAGAAAAAAGGGGGAAAACCCCTATTATTATATTGTGACGTTTCTGTACAGAAAGGGACGGTAACAAAAAAAATATTCGCAGCAGTGCGACACCCGTGCGTGAGGTCACTGCAAAAGAGCCCCCCCCTCCCCGTCATTAATAATCATGAGCGAGTGACTCACACAAGTAAACGTGAATGCACGTCGCTGTCCGTGGTGCTATCACATGCGGTGATTGCTATATCGGGGAGACAAAGCGACATGTCTCTGACCGAATTCGCGAGCACAAATCAGATTTGAAACACGGCAAAACGAATTCTTCTGCCGTGGCTGATCACTGTTACAACGCTGTGGGTGATCACGATATAATTTTCTCCGATACCAAGGTTCTTTGCAAACCCACGGGTTTTTATCAGAGATTTGTTCACGAGGCAATTCAGATCTACAAACACAGACACAATTTCAACCGAGATGGTTTCAAATTAAGCAACCATTGGAAAGATGTTCTAAATCGAACCAAACATTAAACTAATTTTCAATGGTACAGTATATTTTTCAAGTAGTGGTACCCCAAACTTTCGCAGCTCTTAAAAATATTCCCTTTTCACACCATCAATAGGTAAACTCCCCCTCCCCCGCGCCAAACGGCAAGTCCACCCGCACGTACACCACCTCTATGCTAAGTCGGCAAATCAAATGCTAATTGTTATGCTAATTCCTTTGTCAAGGCACCTTGTTTGCTCACACACAGCTTAAAGGTCGCGGTCTGAGCATGGCTGTGTTTCACTCCAGCGCTGTCCTCGAGACAGCCTGATCCCTTCACCTGATGAAGGCCGCTTGTGTTGTGGCCGAAACGTAGTGATTTTTGTTGTTTTATTTTTTACCTACGTGACTTTACCGAATAGAACCAAAGAATATGTTAAAAAACGCCACTTTTTTCAAATTTTCTTGCCGTGGTTTTCACACCTGATGATGATGATTGCTTGTGTTGCAGTCGAAACGTCGTGAGAATTTTATTGTTTTATATTTTTTTATTATTTTGTTTCCCTTCTACGTGGTAGTGACTTTACCGAAAGAACCAAGAATATGAATCCCTGTAGTCGCGAAAGCTTTACATCTAAATTTTACATCTTTAATATTTCAGCTTCCGTCTTCGGACGGGCAAACAAGCTAGTTTATTATAGTTCATTTGTTTTACCAGGTATGGCCTCGTAGATTGCACATAGACGAATATATATCTATTTTTACACGCTTTTCATTCACTCTGTTATATCCTCAAATCTTGTAACTCAATTTTTACCCACTTCCTAATGTGCTATCGACTGCAAACTTGGTATACTTATGTCATACTGATGACAAAACTATATTTCTATCATTAAAATATAAAAAAAATATATTTTTAAACCATATTTTTCTCTGTTATGTTTCGGCTCGGGTCTAATTATCCACACTCAACTGACGTTGGCTGTAAATCACCACGGCCCCCTTACGTTGTGGCAAGCTTCGGGACCACTTCCTGTAGTGGAATTCTTCCATTACTAGTACGGTACATTTCAATAAAGCGTGTTTAATTTTTTTTTTTACTTATTACGATTAGAAGAACCCCCCCCCCCCCAAAAAAAAAAAATGCTCGGTTATTTCAGGAATTTGCTTCGTTCATCGTGTTTTTTTGTGTTTTTATGGCCTCTTTTTTAAACCAAAGATAAACCTTTTCCCATTTAACACAAATCCCATTGTGTACTGTGTTCAGACTCAAACAAAAAAACACCCTCAAAAACTCATTGCTAGATCCCCACCGTCAGTCAAATTAAACAGAGCATCCGTCTGTCGCCCAACATGTTACAAAACGATTGAACACCCCCCCCCCCCCCGTGAACGGAGCCTACCAAACGAAAATCTCTCTCTCGATCCCGACGCCTGCTGTATATTTGGAGTTTGCATGTTCTCCCCGTGGTGGCGTGGTGTTTTTTTTCTCTCTCCGGGTTTTCCCTCCACATTTAGAAACATGCATTGAGATTACTTTGCTGCCATGAATGTTCAAATGATAAGCCACTTTTGTTTAGCCATCATGTGGCCAGGTCGCTTCTGAAAAATAAGTTAATACCTTAGTGGGGCTTTGCCTCGAAGGATGGGGATGGTTTGGTTTTTAGTTTGTGTGAGTTTGGGGCGATTTGTTTACCTTCATGTTTTTGTTTTGTTTGTTGTAACGTCCTTACCCGCCTTGACTGGACATGTGAAAAATAGCTTTATAGATAATCGGATTCCTCTAGTATAAATATTACTGGTAGGAAACGTAGTGGACTGGAAGCCCAACCGGAATTAATTCACAGGAGGCAGGGGATTAATTGTGTATGTCTGTCCACGTGGGAGGGGTGGGGCTGGGTGGAGAGGTGAGGCTAGGGAGGGGCTGGGTGGGGAGGGTGGGGCTGGGTGGGGAGGGTGGGGGTGGGAGGGGTGGGGCTGGGTGGGGTGGGGCTGGGTGGGGAGGGGCTGGTCACCCCGTGGTGCCCTTATAAAACTCAACGTTTAACCTACTCACGTCGGCTTGTGCCCACCCTCACAGTCGGGCATATTTGCGGAATACACCACGCCGCCGTTGACCCTGGCCACTGACCGAGCAACCCAACGTTCCTACCAGCTCCCTCCGCAGGAATGTGTTATGATTCTGACAGTAGTGTCCTTGATAGGTCTTTTCCCCAAATGCACCAACGTCCATTGAATGCAATGGTTCCAGCCTCGTTAATGTCACGTTTTATAGAACATTAAAGTGTTTTCTTCTTCACAAAACCCCAGTCTACAAGACAAAAAGAACAACACTACTAACGCCAAAAACATTTTAATTATCTTGACCAAAAAAAATTAAATTTACAAACAAAAGCACTGGTTAGCTTAAGCCAAGATGTGTAGCCAACAGCCAACAAATCAAACGGGCACAGTTAAAACGTACAAACATGTCACATCACTCACACAAAACCCAGCACACTCACGACTAACGCGCTCGGGGCGATGCCACACCTAAAGCCATCGCGTGGTCCGCCCTGGAATATGTCAACAAATCTAATGGCAAGGATACAAATTGGACAGGAAAAGCCTCAACAGCAAGTGGCAGAAGGTGCAACACAAAATCATGAAAATTATGTTTCAGCCAGTATATGCTCCTGTACTGTGTACCTCATTAGGATTGACTTCCGTCTTGGCCCAAAGGCAACGGTGCATGAATTCCATTGATTTTGTCACAAACGAGACTTGCATTAAAGTAATTGAAAGGTAGAGTGCAAACTGATTCAATACACAAATTATATCCATGTTAAGGGTCTTGAAGCTGGTTAAGGGCCATGTTACAAAGACAGGTGAATACATTTGCATGTCACTCACGTTTACAATGTTGTTTAGGGTGGCTTTCAGAAGGGCCATACGGGAAGGAAAAAGGTTTGTACGAATATAACTCCCAAAAAGAGTGCAAGATTGGTATTGCATAAGTTAACGTCAAACATCGGCAAACAAGCAGCATCCATCCATTCTGTCTGTGCGAGACAAATAACTAATACACATTAACAGATCTGAAGCTTTGGTTGGATGTGCTTAATTATTCAAACTCTACACTGAAAAGCATTCTCACCGATATCTGCTACTGTGATATTATAGTCAGTTTATCTAGAAACGTCTGGCCAAGTGAACCTTACGCCGGGACCCCGGAGTCCCAAATAAACGGAATTCAAATTCGTAATTAATTTATTTTTGGCGACTCCGTCCCACCGCGCACATTAACGCCGCGACCCACCTGGCGTGGATCATTCTGTTGTCGTGTCGTCCAAACGCAGCGAGGACGAATGAGCAGAAGAAACAAAACTTTGATTAGCGCACCGTGTAGAGCTCGTCGAGAGGAATATATTGCCGTATCGTTCGCCTTCAACAGACATAAAATGACGTCGCAACGCAATTTATGCGAGAGCTGGGGGCTTATGGGACCCCGGGGTCCCGCCATAAGGTTCAATTCTCTAAACCATCAAGAGGGTCCTTGCTTGCAACGTTTGGCAGTATTTTTGTATGTCTGGGAAACCATACGAAAACATGGGAAATGTCAAACATCACAGATAGGGTAACATACAGCACTTGCTGTACCTCTCCTACGAGCAACTTCCTTGTCTCTGCAGCAAGGTATCTCACACGCATGAGTTCAATACAATCCACCAACTCCACATCGCTAAATTACAGCTGTGTAACGCCATGCTTGGACATTAGGTTTAATTTGTTATTT